TAAAATCAAAATCAAAATAAATATATCAAATATTTTATCTTTTACAGCTCTATAACAAAATTTTCTGAAAGCACTTTCCTAAGAGAATATCATCAAAGCATATTCTCCTAAACCTTTCTCTGAAAAATAAATAAAACGTTAAGTTTATAATTTCTAATATTCTTCAACATCATCTTATATTGAAGATTTACTTGATTTTCTACTTGCTTGAGGTTTAGAAGATATTGCAGATTCAAAAATCTAATCTCTCCCAATAATAATATTATTATCTATTTAATTTTTATCTCTTCTATATTCTGTCTCAAAATTATCCAATAGTACTGCTAAAAATAAATTTAAAAAAACATAATTGCCTATTGCAATCCATATAACTAAATACAAAAATACAACTATGTTGTTAGCATCAGACAAAAATAAAGAATATAAAACATCACTCCAATTTGATATTGTAAATAACTAAAATACAGTTTCAAATGATATTATAAATGAATTAAAGGTATATCTATATTTTTAATCTGATATTTATCCTTAAAATAATGAAAATCCTAAAATTGTAAATGTATATAAAAAGAAGAGCATTAAGATAAACATCCATAATATTTATTCAAAAGCATTTCCCAATACTTTTAACAAAAATCCCATAAACTTAAGGGATCTAATTAATTTAGATATTCTCAGTACTCTTAATGCTCTAAAGATTCGCAAAGATCTTAATGCACTAAATCCAGATTTTCCTCCATCCTCTTAATTGATAATTACTTCATATAAACTGATTCCAACTATAAAAGCATCAAAAATATTAAATTTATCTTGAACATATTGTTTAACTCCTAATCCTATCAATTTCAAACCAAGTTCAATTATAAATATAATTGTGAATGCCAAATTAAAATTAGATAGTAAATCATCATCAGTAACTAACCCTTCTAAAGCTAATATAATTGTATTGAATGCAACACACAAATTTATAGATCTATTAAAATATTCACTTTAAATTAAATTTAATAATTTAACTCTAATTACTTTAATAATACCTGAGACTCCTGGTAACCAAATTTCATAAACATTTATAGTATAATTCAATGCTTGCATTATTTTATTCATCAATGTAATTGTTTATTCATCTATATAATCACTCATAAGTAAAACATCTTCAATTGAAGATTATTAAACTATTTCTTATTATGAACTAGCTTCAGACTAATAAAAAATAAATATAATAAATTTACCATCAATTTAACATAATCTTAATAGTTAGTACTAGTAGTAATTGTAATTTAATCATAATTTAGATATCTCAATTATTCTTTAAGATCATATTATATTTCAACTTAGCCATATTACTCTAAATCTACAGCTTAAACTTCTTTTCTGATTAATAATTAAGCTTCTTAAAAGTTTAATTTTTATTCATGTAAAATCAATTTTTTATATTATTATTATTCCTCTTAATCTTAAAATTTAACTTATTTTTAGGAACGCTTTGCAGTTGTACTTTTCATTTAAGTAGTTGATGGTTGAATTTTTGAATTAGATCTATTATTAATTAATTAAGTTTGTTAATTTGAAAATACATATTAAACTTATTTTTTGATTTTTCTATTAATTTCTTCATTATTTTTAATGTTCTATTGTATCTTTTTCATTTATTAAACTTCTAATACATCTAATTCTGAATTTGAATTATAAATTAAATATGGAACTTCTTTATGGAATTTAGTTTTAAATAATTTTATTTTTAATTGTTAATATCTATCATCATTTGCTGAATTAAATGTTTTACTTAAATAAGTTGATTTTTTCATTGTTTTTCTTGTGAATCGAGGTTTCTTTCTACGAACTAAATTAACTTTGGATAATGGATTCTAAAGTACATCAGATTTTGATTTTTTCATTACATTTAATTCTAATATACCTAGATCCATTAATTCTTGTTCAACTTATTCACTAGGTATTGAATTGATAATGGAATTTTCACTTTTATCCAAAATAGATACATCATTTTTAATTATTTCTATTTATTTATTCTTAATATTAAAAGATCTTTATTTAACATCCTAAAGCATTTAAATTTATTGAGAAGTTCTTGGAGCATAAGTACCATGTTACATAAGATTTCTATTAAATTTAGAATTTAATTAACTCATTTAATTGTTTGGAGTTAATAATCCATTACTTTAATTTTCATTGCTTGGAATATTATTATGAGCTTAAGAGAAGAAATCTTATAATTACTCATCAGTATCTTTAGGTGTTGTAATAGTTTTTTTAGATTGATGTTACCCAATAATCTTAAGATCATTAACAAGTATTTAATCAGACTCTGATATTGAAGGTCTAACTCTATGTACTATTTTCTTACTGAATTAAGATTTTGGAGATCCAATATTTAATTCATTTAAATTTCTTTAATTTTAAGGAGTAACATTTCGAGATCTATTGTTTGGAGATTTATTATTTATATTTAAAATTGATTTACTTGATAATTGTCTAGTTTAATTATCCTTCAAAAGAGATCTATTGGATTGACTAAAAAACATATTGCTCAATTTATTATCTGGTGATATATTATAAGAGAAACTAATGTTTTAATCAATAGGACTTTAAAGAAAGGAATATCCTTATTATTCATAATTGACATTTAGATTAATTTTGGATTAATTAGAAGGAGTAACACCTCCAATAATAGGTTATAATTTCTTTCCCATCCCATAGATTCCCATAAACTTCTTGTCTTATTTCATAAAAGGAGTACTGAAATTGTTAGCAAATTTAATAGGATGAATTTTTAAATTAGAATTCTAAGTTTAACTTGGATATTTAGTAGTTCTATGTTTTATTTTAGTTTATTATCTTTAAGATCTTTCTCTAAATGTAAATAGAGCATCACTTTTTCTTCTTATTAGTGTTTAAGTTTATAATTTAGATGGCTCATATATTCCCATAATCCTTAATTCCCAATAATCATAACTCTCTTCAATTACTGGTGGTATTATTATTTTTTGATTATTAGAAAAGTTAAGCTTAATTATGGCTAATGTCAAATTGACCAAAAAGAATCCTCCTACCATTACTACCATAAAGAAATAGACATAAACTGATTCATTATATGCTGCTATTGTATAATCTAAAATCTAAGACCAACTCTCAAGGAGTGTACATATAAACACTTATATCAATGACCAACCGAATGTATCAAAATTAATTAAATCATTAAAAGGATTGGCTATTTATTTAACACAATCAAAGTCTCCTTGACATTCTGAACATACTTAATCATTTTTAGGAATTCCTGTTTTTAAATTTACACATCTTCTCTTTAAACCTCCACCAAATAGTAGGAGAGCAACAATTGCAAATATTGAATATGAGAACACTAAAACTATCAATGCATCCTTCAATTAATAAACTGATTAAAATAACGAAGTCAATATTACTTTCAAAGCAGGAATACTTTAACCTGCATCCAAAGATCTCAATATTCTTATTGTTCTTAAGGCATTAAAATTAAATTTTATGTTCACAAAGTAAGGCAAGTATTAAAATACTAAAATCAGAAAATCGATTACATTCCAGAAATCTCGAAAGTATGAATCTCTCTTCATATACAAACCCTAAAATAATTATTATATATGTTAACCAATGCCAACATCTTGAAAATAGCTTCCAATGAATAAAGGATAATAAAGATAATCTCATATTAATCTTATTCTAATGCTAAACATAAAGAGTTCAAAATAATTGTTATCATCAGTATCAATTGGAAAGTTTTGAGATTTATTAAATATTTCATTAGTTATCTAATCGATTAAAATATAATCATTAGGACTCTTCTCATCTTTAATAAAGGGTACCTAATTTAATTTCTAATTACTCATCAACATAAATATATGCTAACTGTAATTCATTCATTGGCCTTAGTTTTATCTAACTACTTGGAGCAGGTATTTGATGAGTATAATCAATATAAAATTCATTATCCAAATCAATTAAATATTCATAAGTTATTTGAGATTCTGTATTTTATTAAATGGCTATGTCATAATTTGTTTCATCTAAAATCAATTGTTACATTCTTCTTAGATATTCCTTCCTTTCTTATCTTTGTTTCTCCTCTTAAATCTAAATCAAATAAATCTATTTACTTCATATTCATCTTCGTCCTCATATTATTCTAAAATTATGCCATTTTTCATAACTTTTTTTAAAGTAATTTAAAATAATATTTGTTTATAAATATTTTTTAAATAGAAGCAACCTCAAACTCTAATCAAATTCAAATTACTTTCATTATTATAATAATAATTACATTAAACTAATCATATAAATTACTCATTAAATTCAATATATTACTAAATTTGTCTAATAATTTTAGGTAATTATCTTCATAATCCTATATAAATTATATCTCAAATTCTATCAAAACAACTAATTTTTCTTATGAAATATTAATCCTTTATAGATAAACAATTGAATTTATAAATATCTATTATATCTAATATATCATTTTCCAAAATTGTCTAAAACTGATCTTAGTTTGTCCAACTTAATTTTAGTTTCAGCCTATTAAGTCTATAATTTTTTTAATGTTATTATAGCAGCTATGAGTATTTCTATTTCAACTTTTCATTTTATTGTTATTTCTCTTATAATGTAGAATAGGCTTACTGCAACTATTGCAATTAAAAATTCTTTTCATTTTATTATTAATTCAATTTATTTAAATTTTCTTTAACATTTTATTATTCCTTTAAGTTGAGTTTTTCTTTTTCAGATTCCTTATCTCTAAGATCAATTTATTATTTTTTTATATTATTGTAATTGTTAATGTAATTAATAAATTTTTATTTGTTATTATTTTCTTACAATTTTATCAGTTTATATATTATTTATATTATCTCCTGTATTGGTTCCAAACTTTTTTTACAGCATTTGATTATTTGATATTTTAAATCTTTATTTATCACTAGAATTAATTTAATTTCTTCTAGGTCTACTTTTCAATTCATAATATTCTTATTATAATTAAATTATTATTCCATGTAACCTCTTTAATTCCTTTCCACATACAATCTTTCATTATTTCCAAAAAAATTACTTTCTAAAGCCAAACATTTATTTTCCAATTCTACTATTTTTAATTTCTTTCATCATTAGGTTTAATATCTAATTCTTAAAATAAATAAAATCTAATTCTAAATCTAAATATTATATAATTCTTTTCTTCTCATTCAATTATTATTTAATATTATAAATTGTTGATTTTTAATTTTATTTCTTCCTTTCTAATTATTCTTAATTTTTCAGTAATCTATCTAATGCATAAAATTTCAATTATATACTCCTATTTTCTTACTCCAATCTCACATTTTCTTCATTTGTTATTGTCAATCTATTTTATAAATCCTCAGTCTTTTTTTCTATTTCATAAAGATGTTTAGAATCATTCTCTAATTTTGAATATTTATCTTTCCAAAAACCCAATCCTCTTTCAATTTCTAACTTCTATTTTTATATCTCTCCAAATCATTCTATATTTTGCAATCTTACCTTCAATTAATCAAAATCTTTAGTTTTATCATTAAACTATTATTATAAAATATCTAAATTTACTTAAATTAACAGATTAATTTCTTATTATAATTAAGGTTAATATTGCATTTATTAATTGAATTGCTGTATTTAATTTTACAGATCCTGTGTTTACTATTTCAAACTTTGATTTTTAACATCAGAACCAATAAATTCCTTCAGATTATACAACTATCTGATCCTCTGATTGACTAGGTCATTTGCATCATTTGTCTTAGACTAATATTAATTGTTGATTTCAATACCCTTATATTTCTTTTGTTCTTGTTTTCAATTTGCTTAGAATTATTTAGACTTATGTTTCTCTACATATTATTAATGTAGATTTAATTCGCTAATTAGATTTATCTTCTCTTAATCCTTTTATACATAAGGATATTTAATTAAAATTTCAAATGAGAAAAATTCAATAACTTCCATAATCTCTTTTTTTATTTATACTCTAAATTAATTGGTAATCATCATTAAAATTATATAAAATCATTTATTGTTGACTATCAATTCATAAATTTGATTTACTATGTGTTCCTTTTATCATTCTAATCAATAGAAAATTAAATTTCAAATTAATTAACTATTTTACACTATATTTGAAAGTTTACAGAAAGTTTATACTTTATTTTGATTAACATAAGATTAAGTTGAGTAATATACGCCTTATTATTGATTATATACCATTATTCAAAGTGTAAATCAGATAGAATTAAATTTAGTTTTAAATCATCTGTATTAATTAGGAATATAGAATTTTAGAAAATTATATGAATTTAATAAAATACCAATATTTATAGTAATTTAAATGTTGTTGAAGAGATTTTAGGCAAAAAAAATTTGGATAACAAACTGCTTTATTTTTTACTAATTCTTTTATTAATTATGATAATAAAATAAATTGAAAAACTATTAAGTTCTATAAATGAAAACTATTCCACTATTTAATGTAAAAATAATAATATATATAGCTATTGCTTTGTTTTGCTTTGAAAATCCTGATGAAGCAAATTTTATAGCATTTCTAGTTGAAAATGAAATAAAGGAAGTCGAATCTGATAGAAAATTGCTATATCTTTTTTTGATTCATGAAATATTTTTATTAGAACTTAAATAAAGAAGAGCTACAATTGATTTTATAAAAGCTTTTGGGATGAAAATGAAGAATATGATTTAAGTTTTCTAAATAGTCTCTAATATACAATTATTAGATAAAGTCTTTTATTTAATAAATAAATGGGAGACAGAAATGATATTTCATCCAAATTTCACTATGAAGCTTCGAAGTATTCTCTTACCGAAATATGAACTTTTGTAGAAATCAAAACAATAATAATTATTAGATGAAATGGAAAAGTCAGAAAAACTAGAGAAGAATTTGAAAATTATTTAGGTTTAAAATCATTAATATATATAAAGTCTGTATCACATCCTAACTAATGTTATAAATTACTTAAACAAGTTTAATAACTTGAAAAAAGAACTTTAGAATTTAATTAAAATAGAAATAATGTTAATAAAATGAAATATTTAAATTTAATGATAGAAGAAGGAGAAGAATGTAGAAAATTATTAATAAATGTACATTAATATATTAAATTATCAGAGTATATGTCAGATATAGTAGTTTTATTTAGATCTTTCTAAATAAGGAGAAGAACTGATGAAAGATCTAAAATCTAACAAGCTAGATTATTATAAGAGAAAAAAAAAGAAGTTATTTCGTTGATTATATATATATTATAGTTCTTAGAAATACTTAATTAATTATGGTTTAAAATTCTAGTATTGTAAATTTAATATTATCAAAATATATTAAAATTTAATTTATTGTTCATTAATTTAAAATATAATCTTAGTGTTCTAAATTTGTATATATTGTATATAATATTATAAATCTACATATACTAATTAAATTTAATAGTAAATAAGTGAGTATTATAAAATTTCTAATAATTATAAATATATGTTATTTAAAAATCAATATAAATTTCATATTCTTTTAAATTAATTTATGGTTAATGTAATCAAATTTATCATTTTTTAATTATTAATCATCTTAACTATATATATAAACTTTTAATGATTCTCTTATATGATTAGAATTTTAACTAAAAATACAAATGAGTACTAATTAAATGATTAGGTTTAATATAATTAATGATGATCAAAAATTTATTATTTAAGAATATAATAATTAATATTGTAAATAAATTATTAAAATTATGGACTTAAGAAACAAAAAATCACAATCTCATCATCGTATTACAAGTTATCAATTTTTAAAATGGGGATAATTTAAATAAGAATTACCTAAATTAGCTATGCCTCCAACTCCAAGAAAAAAGAATTTGAGTTTAGATTTATTAAGTGAGGTTCGCAATTATCAAAAATAAAAGATTGTGATTGAATCTGGTCAACTTACATCAAGAGGTTTGAGGTAGATGCTAAAGCCAAATAGTATTGCTATAATTTTAAATAAGAGCTTAAATGGGTTAATTAAGAAGTGAAATTGGATTCATAGTCTCTTCTTCGTAATAAACTTACTGTTGCTGACTTCTTTCTCAATTCGAAAAAGGGAAAGACTGAGTTAATGCCTTTTGATTTAATTTAATCAGATTCTCTCAAATAATTTCTTGGTAGATTGAAATGCCATATTAAAACTAGACAATATAAATGATTTTATATTTATATATTGAGTTCTTAGACTATGTTCAAATGTGAATTTATTATTTTATTTATGTTTAAAACTTAGAAGAATACTAAAATTTTAGTGAAATTAAGTGAAATATATGATTCAATGTAGTTTTAAAAACATGATATATCATAAAAATCATAAAAATTACGTTAAATAAAATAAATAAGTTTCATTATTATAAACACAACAATTATTTTTATTAAAAGTAATTGAAATATTGTTTTTATATATAAGATTAATAATTAATGTTTAGATCAATTTTGATACGAATAATATATATATCTATAGATGCTCAATCATTATCTCTTTTTGCTGAGATTTTAGATTTTAGACTTCCAAGAATGAGCTCCTTCAAATCCATTCTTTTATTCATAATAATCTTAAAATGCCTATTGAATTTCTTCCTTTGTGTTCATAACAAAAGGTCCATGCTACACAAAAGGTTCATCAATAGGTTCTCCAGCAATCATAATGAAATGACATTTTTATGTTCCAGTCTTAACTTTTAAGACTTCTTCCTTATCATTAATATCTAAGTGAACAACTTAATGCTAATTGGCATTTTGTCCACCAAATTATCCTTATCCTTCATATACATAACATATAGAATTCCATTTCAATGGTATCCTTTATAAGAATTCAGAATTTTCATCTAATTTTACATCTAAAAAGAAAGCAGGAGTCCTTGTATAAATTGGACCTTTCACACCTAAAGCCTCACCTGCAATAACACGAACTAAGACTCCATTTTATTTAGCTTCAGGTATTAAGTCTTTTTTGATTTCTTAATATTATGGTTCTACCATCTTGAATTTAGCTTGTAAATTTATCCATAATTAGAATCCAGATGTTAATTCATCCCAACTTCCTGGCATCTCAGCATGCATCACACCTTTTCCAGCAGTCATCCATTATATATCTCCAGGTTATAAATGACCTGAAAATCCTTTGCTGTCTTCATGATAGAAAGAACCTTTTAACAAGTAACTAACTGTTTCAAATCCTCTATGAGGATGATCAGGAAAGCCTGCAGGTAATTTAACAAATGCATGATCGAGCATCATAAATGGATTAAGACTACGAAGATGATTATTGCCTAGAATGTTATCAAAACTAAATATTTACCAATGATTCTTATAACTTATGCACCTTAACCTTCAGGAACTGTTGGAGGAGTAAATATTTTTAAGACTCTTCTGGACATTATTAATTAATTTATATGCACTCTAAACATTCAAAACTATTTGAATCAGGTGCAGAGCCAATTAAAAGAGAAATACTAGAATCATACTTGATTTAGGGTAAAAAACATAATTCTAATGACGATTCATAATTAAGAGAACATATTGAAAAATTAACTAATGAAGTAGCTGCAATAAAAAAATCAGTTGCTACTAAATAAAATGATAAAGCAATATAATGTGAAGACAGAAATTATGAATTAATGAATTCTCTTTTAAAATAAAAAGATAAATCAATAGAGTAATATGAAAGACAAATCTTGAGTTTTAAGAACATAATCATATAAATCGATCATTAGAAAAAGAAACTACTAAATAAATTAGAAATATAAGATCCAATGAAGAGTAGTCAAGCTATATTGATATCTTAATAAAATTAGATATTATTTGATAAATAAATGATTTGTAAAAGTCAACAAACGGAAGTTGATTTTGGAATAAAATTTATTTAAAACTCTGTTACTGAAGAATAAAATTCTAAATCAATATAGACTAATTCTAAAGTTTATAGTGAGATAAATATGTTAACTTAAGATGAAATACATAAAGAGATAGAGTAATATAAGATTATTTTAAGAGAGTATGATTAAGAAAATAGAAAATTAAAAAAGTAAATCCAATAATTACAACATTCAAAGATTAAGGTTGATTAGGATACTTAAACAAATTTAATTCAATTTTAGAAAGCATTATAAACTGAAGATGATTTAAAGATTGAACTTGAAAAAACAATTAAAGAGTATTAATAAAGTATAGATGTTCTTAATTTAATAAAAAAACAATTCAATTAATAGACATTAGAATTTAATATATTGAAAAACTAATATGATTCATTATTAAGTGACTATTATTTTATTTAATCAGAAAACAAATCAAATGAAAAAACTATAAATTAATTAAATGATGAAATTGAATAATTGAAATTGGGTTTATAAACAAAAGAATTTAGTATAAGCAGTGCTGATACACTTACTTCTCCTAATGATTCATTAAGAAGTTATAAGAAAATGGGTTCTAATGTAAAATTGAATTTTGTGAATTCAACATACTTTAATCCATAAAATATTGATGAATTAATATTAGTCTAATAAGAGAATTAGATATTGATGTTAAAAATATCAGAATTAAAATAACAATTATTAGAATTTTAAAGAAATCAAAAAAATCTGTATGAGGAAATTAATTAGAAAGATGATTTAATTAATACTTAGTAATAAGAATTATAGGAATATAGAAAAGATTAAATAGATTTTAAGAGAAGAATGGAAAATGTGTAAAAATTAGAAACTAAATTGATGGGGTAGGAGAATGGATATATAATGGAAATATAAGATTTGTAATAGAATATGATGAAGTTGAATTAAGAATATGTAGGTTTGAAGATTATTAATCAAACATTACATAAATAAATAGAGAAATATTAGAATAAAGGATTATTGTTATAGCATTAAAAATGATTCTCGTAAATTTATATATAAAATATTAATGTAATTAACAACACCGATAAGATTAGCTGAATCACATTATATTGGAGCACCAAATGTTTCAAATTATCCTTAATTGACTTAATCAATGAAGAGTCCTAATATTAGTGCTGCTTCTGGGAATAATTCATCATAAAAAGCTAGATCAGATTCAAAATAAAATAATTAAATGGTTTCATCTACTACTCAATAAATAATATAATTTGATTCAGTTGAACCAATTTAAATACAATGTGAAAATTGTAATACTTTTAGTAGTTCGATTGTTCATGTTGAATATACAATGTATACATATGTATCTGCTTTATTATTGATGTTAATATGTCTTTGTTGGATTCCTTTGATATTGAAGAAATACTTTATGAAAATAAGTCATAGTTGTCCTGGTTGTGATCGTTTGATTGGAGAATATGATTATTTAGATTAAAAATTAAATAAATAATGATTTATGAAATTAATAAATTATCATTGTAACATATAATTCTTTTTGAGTGTTTCATTTGTTTATTTAAGAGCCTTCTATATCCTATAATCTAAATCAGTTTTAGGAGTAACTTCATCTAATTTTTAGAGCATTTCCTTGGTTTTTAATGATTGATTTGGAGTAAACATTAATTATTATTATTATTATTATTATTATTCTTATTATTTGATAACTTTAATAGGACTAGAAGTTTTAACTATTTATCTGGGACTACTTTGTATAATGGCTATTTATTAGGGAGTAACTTATTATATTGGTGTTTGTAATTATGCTATTCTTCTGAAAGTAAAAGGGGAATGAGAATGACGAGGTTATATTGTTCTGGTTAAAGGTGATTAAGATGTTCTGTAAACATATCTTTAACTTGATGTAATTGTTTTTGGTGGACTGGATAATAGTTTTTGTTATAAATTGGCTTATTTATTAACTTAATACATATAATCAGCTCTTTGATGAGGAGATTAGAATAGTAAATGCTAAATTTTATTAATTAATTTATTCGAGTAATTTGTACATCTTAGTAATTCATTTACTAATGATTGATTTACTTAATTTTTTAGATAGACTATTTCCATGGATGTTAATGTCATGAGATGTAGCATAGTGATTCCTAAACTGTAAGATGTACTTTTAAAAGGATTAGGTTACACATTTGAAGGTTATGGCTAAATTTATTCAGGTGCATAATATCTTTGTTAGTTTTGAGTATTATCAATCACCCATTATTAATTCAATTTAATTGTATCATTTGGAGTCAAGAAAATATTCTAGTTATCATAAGTTATACTTGGGGTCTAATATCATCATGAAAAATTTATTATTATTATAGGTAGGCTAACGCTGAAACGAATTGATCAAACATCTATAACAATTCATGTTCTTGGTAATAGTTCTTTATAATACTTCATTTTATCTTACATTATTTAGTTTTCTTTTATTAATGTCTTGTTATAAATCATAATCATAATGTTCAAAATAAATCAAAACACTTAATTGATCTACTTCGTATTTGTGTAATTTTATTATGTTCTTATGATTTATTGATTAACTTAATTAGCATCTGTGAATGCAATTAGCTAATTAATCAGGAGCATTCTTATAGTCTATAACCTTTTAAATTATTAATGAATTTTCATATGTGAACTTATTGACCTTACCATATCGTAAGTCATTTGTTATTTGTGTGTCTTAACTATTCCCCATATATCGTTAAAAATATAATTTATATTCAATTTAAATAATATAAGAGATAATGGTGAATAAAAATAATCTATACAGAATATTAATAAATAAATTAAAAATATCTATTTGATAGATATATACTAGAAAAGATAGAACTAATAATAATAATAATATAAGATATAATCTTCTAATATAGTAATCATCAAAATGCTTTTTGTTTGATTCTCAATTAATTTCTAAATTAATCTAATTTATTATTAAATTCATCCAATCTAGATAATTTATGTAATGGAGAATTTATTCTTTAATTGTTCTATTAATCATTTTGATAATCATGCTTAATGTTTTTTAATGATAGAGTAGATTCTTGATTATTATGACTTAACTTCTATTAAAAATCTTAAAGTTATATTATGAATCCTGGATTAGGATTTACTATTCTTCTTTTTTATTGTAAATGTATTATAGCTTAATTCATTGTCCAATCATATTTTTACATAAGATAGGCAGCCACAATAGCAGCAGATCGAGAGATACCTGCATAACAATGAACAAGAACATTAGTTTTTTTAGTTTAATTTTCTATAAATTTAATTGCTTGTTCAAAGTATTTATTAAGTGGAAACTCTTCAGAATCTTCTGCCATAATCCACTCAAAAATAGAAATTATTCAATACCAACTTTTATGCTCCTTTAATCGGAACTGATTAATCAAGAACTTATAAGACTGCTCCTATATTATATTGTATTAACAATTAAGAATCTTTAGCAGCATCCAAATTTCCTAGATATATTCCTCCACATCCATTTAAAGGGGCTATTATGCAATTCATTGACAAACAATAGTTATTAACGATCATATTATATATTAATTTAATAAAATTTCCACTTTATATAAGCATGGTAGTATGAAGAAATATTTAAAAGTTAAGTAATATATAATTAATCTTTTATATATTGAAGTAATTGCTTTGCTATATTAATGAGAACTATAAATCAATAATATTTAAAAATATAGGGATTCGATATTATCATTAAATGGCGGAAAGGAAAGAAAAGAAGGATTATTTTGATATCATGATAAAGACTAAGTCTTCATAGGACCAAATAGCCTCTTATTTAGTGTAGGCCATTTTGGGTTTAAGAGATAGAGAGAATAAGAATGAGTCAATCAGACTTTCAGGAAGTGGATCAGCAATTCCAAATGTAATTTTGGTTGCTGAAATTATTAGAGCAAGACTTAAGGTAAGAAAGAATAATATATGATAGGGATTGAGTTCAATTGTCACATTAGAGAATGTTCATAAGGAAATAAATGAGAATGGATAAAAATCAATAATATCAATCCCAGCAATTAGGATAAAATTGACGTAATATTCTATATTTATTGTAAGATGTAATCCAACCTAAGAAGAATTATAATAACCAGGATATCAAGCCCCAGGAGATGTACAAGATGATAAAAAGATTGAACTTTTTGATTATATCATGATCTATGCTAAGAATTTGTATTTTTTGAAATAGAAGGACGGATAAAAGCAGAATTATAATTCTAATCATAAACAAACTGGATAACATAATGAAAAGAATCAATAAATATAAGATGTACAAGCAAGAGGAGAATTGAAGACAAGAGGAGGTGCTTAAGTTTAAATAGTACATAGAAGACCTGAAGAATTAAGAAGGAAGCCTGATGAACCAGAAAATCAAGTATATTGTATTTAAATTTATATAGGAGAGACATGAATAAGATTAAACATATAATAAGAAGAATTATAGGCCAAAACAAATGCACGATCAAACTAAATAATATTCATCATAATAATAGAGAGAGGGATAATTTAGACCTAAATAAGGAGAAATTAAAACAAGAGGAGGAAATAGAAGGTGATTAATATAATTTATTAGAACAAAATATATAAATAATTTATGTTTATGTAAATATTGTACTAAAATAACATTCTATCATTATTGGGTAAGGATATCAGAATCACCTGCATCAAGAATGGCTAAACTTGAACATCTGTGTAATTTACCACAAGCGGTACCTAAAATAAGATTAAATCACTCATGCCCATTAATTCAATCAAAGAAGAACTAAGCCTCCCTCTAAACCCCCATACCTAAATCAACATTGTTTCCTTAATATAACACAATAGTGATTTGAGCCAACATGGCATAATATTCAATTTGTGTCTTTCTAATTGTGGGACAATTGTTAGATATAAACACTAATTTGGCTGTACCATTTCTAATTGCCTTCAATGTTTGCTTATATCCCATTGTGATCTTTCCTGATCTGACGACCAATTAAAGTTTTTGATTCACACTTTCTTAAGCAACATTCTTTACCATTTTAAAATTAATTTAAAAATTTTAATATCATATTTTGTTTCAATACCACTTTATTCATTTTCAATAATTCCTAAAAATGAAACATATTAATTTTTGATATTAAATTATTCAGACAGAATGTGAAATTAGTCATTCTTAAATTAAATGAGCATTTAAAACTCATTAAAAGAAACTTCTTATAGAAACATGTACAAATATCACTTAAAAAAAATGAAGGTGAAAATACCACTTCAAACAAATGAAGATTTAAAAGCTGTAGTCCAATTTATTCTCAAAAAATCAGAAGCCATATGCCATTTATGATAAGTGAGAACATAAACAATAAAATACATAATACATATTTGATTTTCAGGATTTTTTTGATGATAAATCAATATTTATTGCCAATCACAAAACAAATAACCAAATGGCATTCCTGTCTAGTCAAAGACCCTGATAATAAAATTACTAAAATGTTGTCAAATATATAAATAAAATCAATAACATTCCACTCTCCTTATACCTAAACTATAAAATTTGATAGAAATTATTCAAGGGCAGCATTCTTTATTAACTTGGTGAAACACTTTGGTAACCTAATAAAGGCATTAACGTTATCTGAATATCTTTAAATAAAAGAACTAGATTTTATTTCTTTTTTATAAAAACAATAGCATCTTCATCCATTAACAAAAAAAAAGGATTAGAATAAGTATTAATTAAATGTGTATAAGGCACTGGATCTAAAGGTGTTTATGGGCACACAGAGTAATGATTCATCACTCTCTGAGAGAATTGAAAGATACATTGGGAATTAAAATATAGGAAAGAATATTAGTTATGGATTAAAAATAGGGGAAGATATTATAATCTAATTAATAATTGATGATGGACTTGGATCTAGAGGATATAGATAATATGTTTTGTTTAAGATTTCAATCTTATTGGAATTACTGAAGGGGATCACTAAACTTAAGGAATTTTTGATAATGCTTCTTAATTCACTCTATAAGGATAATAACCTAGATAATCATCTAGTAATCAGAGAAAAAAAGTTTTCTTAGAGGAAAAGTATTTCATACCAGAGCTTCTCCTTAATAAGGAAATAAAGAGGAAGGTATTTAATATTCTAGAATAATTACCTCCTGGTTTTGTATCTATTTTTTAATAACATCATTTACTGTCAGTATGAAAGATGTACAAAAAATTACCAAATAACGATTTCTTATATGAAGGATGGATCTACTAAAATAGCTATCCAAACGATCATAGAAGGTTGATATTTACTATACTATTTAATATTCAGTTATTTCTATTAGGTTTATTTGGCAATTCAAATTATTATATACAATATTAAACCCATAAAATTTATAAACCATTTTTGTCTAATTTATAATCAAATCAATTTCATATAAATTGGAACCCTTCGGGGTCATCCGTCAAATTGGAACGTAACAGAGAAGATTAGCATGGCCCCTGCGTAAGGATGACACGCATTAAGCGAGATGGTAGCTCATTTTTTTTTGATTTTTTATAATACTTTTACATTTATACTTAGTTAACAGCATAATATTAATATTTGACCATTTTCTAGTTAAATCATTTTAATTTAATATATTAGTTTAATGAATGAAATGAACACATCTTCATCAATCTCTAGATATACTTCATATTAAATCAATGAGACTCCTATAAAAGTATTTTAAACTAATTCTGAAAATGTTTTTTTTTCTGATGATGGATATTATGTAGCTGAAAAGATTGTTTAAAATTCAATAGAAAATATAATAGTCATTGATCTTTCAATGTAAAATACTATTTTATGTAAACCAATTCAAAATTTAGGATATTCAAAGATCAATTATAGATTCCTGTTTACCTAAGACAATAAGTTTGTCATTCTTATTAGATCATATTAAAATAATAGTTTCTTTTTGATTTAAAACATTAAGGACAATGATCATGTTAGAGAATTTAATTTTGATTCCTGTCAATTTATTTAAGTTTGGAATAATAACAATAATATCTATTTGATTTTAAACCACTAATTAAACAGATGTCTATAGCTCTATCATATTGATTAGTTGATGAATATAAATTTAATTATATAATAGCCATAATGGTCAAATCTTTAAAAGATTATTCATATGGATACTTTAACATAGGACAGTCCTTGTTTATTGTTAGCAAATACTGAAGAAATAAGATTATTTTGTAAATTTAGATTAAAAAGTCTTACATCTATATTTGTTAAGGAAATAAATCATATTAAAGTATTTGCTTCCAAAATATTGATTTTAAAGCCAAGATATGATTCATTATAGACTCATTTTTATTAATTAACTTGTAGGAAACTAATTCGGAAATTAAATACAAATGATTATAGAAATTCAATATATTAAGACAGATTTTTATATTTGTCAAATAAGAATATAATTTATATTTATAATATTGAAAATGGAAAATTAATGGTTTAATTAAATATATTGGAAAATATAGAAAATCTAAGAATTTTGGGGGAATATTTAGTATATAAAAATAGCTTAATTTATAAAGGATGGAAAAAGACATAATTATAGATTAAATAAGAGAATAGAAAAAGTATTTGATAGAGATTATCTTAAGTTATTAATTTTAATTTCTAATTTTATGTTTTATATGTATTCTAATCAATTATTAATGGCCAATCATTAAATATATAATAAGTACTGCAACTATCCTAATTCAAAAAGAAAAAAATAATTAATAAAAATGTAAAAAAATAGAAATGGAACAACTTCCTAAAGGTATTATTAAAAAATAACTGTAGCTACCGTTTAACAATTTATTAAGTCTTCCACAAATGGAGATATGAAGTGTTCAAATGAATTTGTAACTTAAGTGATGTCAATGGCTAGAGAATATATCTAATTAGTTTCTGATTAAGCAAATACAATTTGTTTAGAGTAAGGAAAAAAGACAATATCAGGAGAATTCTTTTATAAGGCTATTTCAAAGTTAAAGTTAGACAATTAAATACCTCATCTTAAGGAAATAGAAGAAGAAATTAAAGAAGAAGTGAATGTATATATGAATTTTATTTTAAGGTTAAAAATTAAAATAGAGCAAGGTTTTAAGATGAAGAGCACTTGAAATAGTTAGAAGAATAATAGAAATAATTATATGAAAAGGCAAAATTGGAGAATAGTAAGAATATGATAGATGATGAAGAACATGGCAAATCAAGAAAATTGAATATATAGTTTGAATAAGATGATGAAGATTAATAATGATATTAATTATTAAAATAATAGTATAGATCTTATAATTCATTCAACATACTTTATTAAAAAAAGTACTTTATGCTTTTGAAGAAAGAACATCTTCATTCATTTCTTATATTTCTATCATTAAATGATATATATACCACTCATATTTAAAGCAATTTCATAATCGGTAACCCATTTTTATTAGTTATCTTGATAATGAAAATTGCCAAATTCTAAAAAATTAGGTTATTACTTAATCACTTGTTTAGTATATTCTTAATGATATTTTGGAATAATTTTTTAAAAGCATTAAAATGAGTATTTCTTTTAAGATTATTCTTTCTAGATTTAATTATGTTTTGTTTATTATTATCCAACCTTTGATTTAGTTTTGTTATCATTTAATTTGAATTAGTTTTAATATATTTTTCTATTATTTTAACAGCGTGAGTTATTTTTATCAGTTTATATATATTCATTATAGCAATCTCTACTTTGTTGATTTTCTGATTTATTTTTTTCTAACTATTCCTCGAATCTAAATTTATGAACTATATGTTATCGTTATAATGACTATAATGGATTGGGTTACTTAAATAAAATTCGAATGTACAATAAATTAGGATAAGTTTTTTCTATTTAAAGTGATACTTCTTTCACGAAAGGATTTGAAGTTCTATGTAGATATTGAATCTGGGGAAACCTTTTTTGGATGCTAATGAAATGATAGATTATTTTTCCTTTAGGGAGCAGGAGACAATAAAAGAAATGGTAACTTAATAGGTTTAGAAGTTTATGTTGAGGATTGTAAATTGATTGATGGTAAATCTGTATCTGTCTTAAGAGTATTTATTTTTTTAAGCTTCATGACTTATTTAGATAAATTTGTTTTTAAATAGACTAAATAGATATTATAATAGTGATATTATTTTGAATTTTAAGAGCATTTATTAGAGTTATTATATAGGTTCTGATAAAAACAATAATGAAGATAAACAAACAAAATCATCATTCATCTTTAGCCTTATCTAAAACATGAATTGGGGCTTTATTTATATAAGTATTAAATACCTAAGATTTATGTTTTATTAGTTTCTACAATTTGACCATTCATCACCATTTCTTCCAAAATATAATGAGCTTTTTCAATATTAAACATTATCTAAAAATAGATTGATATATAAATTACATCTAATTCACATACATTTTCAAAATATTTATCAAGTGTTTCAACTAAATTATGAATAAATTCTAAATATGCCATTTCATTCTTTATTATAATCATATAGAATTACTTCTTCTTCTAAATCCATTCCAATAATAAAATAAAGAGAAGCATATCTTCTGTATATAATCTATAAATTAGTATTAATAAATAACTTTATATCCTCTATGTTCAAGAAAACTACATTAGGTTTCACTTCTAGATAGACACTTACGAATCAATTCTCCTTCAAGTGTCATTCTTTCTTTTACACTTAGAAATTAAAAATATTGTGCAAGTCTTGTCTATCCTTATTTGTTAACCATAAGTATGAAATTGATCATTGTTATAAAAAATATTAATTATATGGAAACTAAAAAAGTTAAATTAGTTGATTATGACATAATGAATACTTTGGGTACAGGTTCATTTGGAAGAGTAAGATTGGCAAAATAAAAATCAAATAACAAATATGTGGCTTTGAAGATGTTAAAAAAAATTGAAATATTACGATTGAAATAAGTTGATCATATTATAAGTGAATTTAATATTCTTAAGTAAATTAAGCATCCATTTCTTGTAAATATTATAAGCAAATATATTAGATTGAAATGAATGGGTATACTTAAGATGAAAGATACTTATATTTTGTATTAGAATATATATAAGGAGGAGAATTATTCACTTATTTAAGAAATGCTGGAACTGTACAAAATGAAGAAGCATAGTAAAACTATTATTTATAATAGATTCTATTCAGCCTAAGTTGTTTTAATGTTTGAGTATCTTCACACTAAGAATATAGTCTATAGAGATTTGAAGCCTGAAAATCTTTTAGTTTAATCTGATGGTTATCTAAAGTTGACTGATTTTGGTTTTGCTAAAGTAGTTGAAGATAGAACTTATACATTATGTGGTACACCAGAATATTTGGCACCAGAAATCCTATTAAATAAAGGTATCAAAGAATTTATTAACAAAATTTAAGGTCATAGTAAACCTGTAGATTGGTGGTGTTTAGGAATATTTTTATATGAGATGCTTGCAGGTATTTGTTTTATAGTTGAAATCCAAAGGAATTGATCCATTTAATGATGAAGATCCAATGGCGATTTATTAGAAAATATTGAAAGGAAAAGTCAAATTTCCTCGTAATTTTGATAAGTAAAAAGAAAATTATAATTAAATTTAGTGAAGCTAAAAGTTTAGTTAAATATTTATTGGAATAGGATGTAACTAAAAGATTTGGCAATTTAAAAAATGGAGTAGATGATATTAAATAACATAAATGGTATGAAACTTTGAATTGGAAAGATTTATTAAACAAAAAAATAAAACCTGTATATATACCAGTTATTCAGTATTTTATATTTATATGTAGATCTGATTATGATACTTCAAATTTTGCTACTTATCCTGATAGTACTGAATTGCCAGATTCTGTTAAATAATAAGATGATCCTTTTAAAGATTGGTGATTATTATTATGTATAAATGTTTATTCTAAATTTCTAAATACTCTATTTTATTAATATTCTGAGATTTTCTATAAATATAGAAAATATTAATAATTATTTATATATTTTGTATTAAGATAATAAAAAAGATAAAGAATAATTTATTAACAAAAACCAAATAAATGTTTTGAATAATTTGATTAGTTATATTAATCATCTTCCAGACCATGATGCAACTTATTTCTTGAACATGATTATAACTTATTCTAAAATGGCATTTTCTTCATCTCTCTTAGCTTTAGCTTCAGCATAATCAGCTCTTCTGGATTCTAAATCAGCTTAAGCTTAATCAAGAGCATCTTGTGACTCTTATAAGATAATCTTAGATTTGGCTTATTAGGCTAAGGCTGCTTAAATTTACTATGGATGATTAAGATAAATACAGTAGCTAATCTATCAGCAAAGACTTATTTTCTTTCATATTCAACTTTGAGGTTAGCTAATTCAGCTTCACTTAATGAAACCCAACCAGCTAATTCCCATGAGGCATTAATTTCATTGACTTCAAGAGCTTCAAGTGAAGCTTAGAGGTTGGCTTCAAGTGATTCAAGGACTGCAAGAACTCTTTCAGCAAGTGTTGCACCTCTGCTGACTCCATCTTCTTATTTGGTTTGAGCCAAACTCAAAAATGTCTTGATTTCTTAATCATTGAAGAGATTGCTATAAGCCTTGAGTTTTTGAGCAACACTGGTGGTTTTTTCTTGGACTAATTCAAATGAATCTCCATTAATGATGTAACCAGCAACATCTTATTTGAGAACTCTGACAACTTCAAGAGCTTCTCTATTTTATTTAATTGATCTAACGAAGAGTTAATTACTAAGACATTATTCATCAAGAAGGACATCAATTTTTCTGACAATTTCATCTTATCTTTATTCATTCCAAGCAAGATAATTTTTGGTATCTTGGAGTTCTTATTCGAAAAGGACTCTATTTTCAACTGATTACTAGAAAAGCTTTTAGTTGAGTGCCTTGATCTTTGTGAATTATTCAATTGTTCTAAGATTATGGAATATAATTACTATGCTCCAACCCATTCATCTGTTTCATTCTTTTAATCAGCAGCAAATTGAGCATCTTTGTTGGATTAGACAAGATCATTCAATAAACCATAAACAGCGTCAATGGCATCCATAGCTTTTGTTCCAGTTTAGAGTAGAGCCATAATTTAATCATGTGTGGATGTTGCAGAGGCAATGCTTACCAACAAGAGAATTGCAAGTGTGGCTTTCATTTATTAATATTTATTGTGTTTGCCATATGATTATCAATTTATTTAATTCTCAAAAACGGGTAAAATGGATGATGAGGGATTCGAATCTGCTTTTATTGAAACCTTAATAACTTAATAAGATAAGTAACCTACATTCATATTCACTTCTCTTCCTACTCCTAATCCTATAGTATACTAATCAGACTATCGAGGAGTGACAAATGACATAAAAGATATCGAAAAAACATATAAATGTGTTTATAAGAAATAATATGGATCAAAAGTGAGTAATCAACTTTTTAAATAATTAAATCTAAATGACTTACAAACACCTACTATCACACAAACACAACAGTTACCACAATTTGATTCTAATTTCACATGTGGAAATCTAGCTGCAGTTCATTAAGTAGATACATTTGAATATGATTTACTTCTCCAAGAAGACATCAACACTACCAGTTATTCTCAATGGTTTTATTTCAAAGTAACCAATCCCAATGAATATAAATACAGAATAAACATCATTAATTTGGTAACTTATTATATTAAAACAACAGAGCAAGAATTATTTACAGTACCAAAATGGTTTCGGAGTGTATATTAAATTTGATACTAATTGGGAAATACTCAAATCTCAAGTATTAATCAAATAATCATAATATGTCAAATCCAATTTTTGTAAAACCACATCCACTAAATTATATACACTCTCTTTCTGGATAAATAGATCATCTAAGACATTTGAAATTGCTCTTGGTATCCCTTATACTCATCTTGATCTTGATAGATATTTACTTAAATTTTAATCAGAAATTCTTACTAACACTATTACAGGATTGCCTGTAAGAATGGTTCAATTTGGATCTAAAAGAAGTGATGTTATTTTAGTAATTGCACGTTAACATCCTGGAGAAACTGTTTCTTCTCATGTATGTTAAGGTTTTCTTGATGCTCTTTCAAATGACAAAACACTATAACTATTTTATAATATAATTGTAATTCCTATGGTAAATCCAGATGGTGTAAAATGGGGTAATTTTAGATGTGATTTAAGTGGGAAAGATTTAAATAGAGTATGGTAAAATCCTAGATCTAAATATCATTAATAAATTATTCAGATAAAAAATCTTATTTAGAAAATATTAGATGAAGGGAGAGATATTAAAACATTTATAGATTTGCATGGTCATTCTAGAAAACTTGGAACTTTTATGTATGCTTGTAGAAATACAGATGATCCTATTTAATGTAGAGTACTTCCAATGATAATGGCTGAAAATTCTAAATATTTCGATTTCAATTCATGTACATTTAATTTGAAATCGTATAAATTAAAAACAGCAAGAGCTTTTGTTTATAATTAAATGTAAAAACATAATCCTAACAGTTTTCATAATATAGTTACTCTTGAAACTTCATTTTTTGGTTATAAATTAGAAAACAGATTTATTTAATATAAATAAAATGATTTAATATAGATAGGAAAAGATTTACATCAATCATTAAAGATTTATTATATGTAATTAGATTAAAAAGCTAAGATATTGAAAGATCTTGAATCAAATAAATAGTATTATCAATAAATAGATGAAAATTAACTATCAGATGATAGTGATTCAGATGCTGAAATAGGAATTATTCCAGATGAAGATAATCCATCTTAAACAATATTTACACATAAATCTGTTAAATTGTTTCATGATACACCTAAAACAAGTTCTTTAAAAAAAAGAAATTTAAAAAAAGCAATAAATCCATTTTTAGTAGGATAATGTGAAAAGAAATATAATTTTCATAAATTAACTAGAGGTGAAAGTAAATCTTAAAAAACAATAAATCAAACTCTTTCTATTTAATAAAATTAATCCCCAAGTATAAAAAATTTAAATAAAATCAACAGAAATCTTTCATCACATAATAAAGATCATATTCATATGCATTCAAGTAATGTTGATCCATATGAAAGTGTTTAATCATGTAGAATATAAAGATAAAATACAACAAGAACACCTAAGGAATTTAAACTTAAATCAGAATAAAGACTACAATATCATAGTCCTAACGATAAACTTATAGTTTTCGAATAAAATTTCAAAATAAAAAGAAAAAATACCTAAACAATAAAATTATTTTGAATATATTTTAATTTTCTAAACATTTTTCATTAAAATCAACTAAATTAACAAAATAGATAAAATTTATTTTATTAATTATAATTATTATTATATTTTATGGATTCAAATTCTCCTATATCTGTATACTTTTATAATAATCAATAGGCAAGTATCATTTCATATAGAAATGATCCAAATGATGATACAATTTACTATATGATATAAGTCAAAAATAAAACAAGTGATATTTGGTAATTAGAAAAAAGGTATGCATTTAATCTATAGTAGATTTTCCTAATTTGAAGACTTAGCTAAAAAATTAAAAGTTCTCTTTGGTGAATAATTGCCTACACTTCCAAAAAAGAAATATATTACATTTTTAGTTGGTAAAACACCTGAAGACATTGAAAAAAGAAAAGTAGGTTTAGATGAATTCATACAAGTAAGAATACTATTGATAAAATGAGAATTTAGCTAGTAGATCTGAAGTAGTTGCATCTGAACCACTAAAGTAATTTTTAGAAATTGAAAAAAATGCAAAAGAAATTATAGTGAATCCTCCAAAATAAATATTTGAGTTTAAAGGATTCTTGCATGGAATCAGAGATTTTATAATAAATTCAGATTAAGGATTGATGTTTGTTATTACATCAGATTGCTCAGTAATGAATAGATTAGATGCTTATCTAACAAATATGAAAGCTCCATGGGAATCTGAAAAAGGAGATTAAGCATTAATACCTGTAGGTTGTGTTGAATGTTGGTAATAACAAGAAAGTGGAGAATTTTAAAGATTATGGGTTAAGATGTACAATTCTTAAGCTATAACTTGTTATTGGGATGCAGTTGCTTCTATTTTGCTTGTGGGATTAGATAGTGGATCAATCAATTATTTATATGTCCCAGAAAAGGAAGGATTTAAGAAATTCACTGAAAGTATGGAAATTGAATAACATACTGACAGAGTCATGGGATTGTATTATGATAATAAGAGGAAATATTTACATTCCATATCTAAAGATAGAAAATATAGAGTATTAAATCTTAGAAAAGGGGAATTAGTAGCAGGTAATTAATTATAAATTATAATTTAGATATTGAACCTGATTAATATGAATTGACATGTTTATTAGGTAGTGAAGAAAGAAAGAAAACATTTGTTGGAGATAGACATGGAGAAATATTTATTTATGATATTGAGAAAGTATATTATTTATATTAAAACATTTAGAAAAGACCTAAATTAATTATTAAAATCCCTACAAATTAATTGTTTATTAGAGGGTTTTTTATAGATAATTAAAGGAATTATTTATTTTCAATTAGTCATGAAAATGGAGTTATTTTAATAATAGATATATAATTACCTGGAAGGGAGTAATATTCTAAAGAAGTGGCTTAATTAAATGGAAAGTCAAAAAGTAGAGAAATCGGATGGTCATCTAAAAGAGGTGAAATCTATGTTGGCAATATTGATGGTACTGTTACAATTTGGGATGCTAGAAAATCTTAATAATTATGTAATACATTTAAATATAATTTAGATGTATTAAAAGCTCATGATTCTGATATTACAAAACTCTAATGGTTAGATACTGATTAGACTTTATTGACAGCTGCAAAAGATAAAGTTATCAAAGTATGGTCAATGCCTTAATATTGGAGAGATCCAAAAATAGTAGAAAAGGAATAAGAACAGGAATAATTATAAGTTAAGCAATTAAATACAGAAATGTATTAGAAAAAGGCATAGTAACAATTTGATCAAAAATTCTAAGATGATGATGATGATGATATGGCTATTTGGCATAAAGATTAATAAAGACATTCAGACACTAAGTATGAAGACATTGTTGAATTAAAATGAGTATTATTTAAATTTATTGCTCTCCATATTATAGACATAACTATAATTTTTATCTATTCATAAATAATCCATAAAAATACCCTCTAATATTTTTAATTACTTAAATCTCTAATTAACTCAAAGATTTTGCATTTATAATCTTAATTTATATATACTAATATATATTTTAAATAGAATAGTTAAAATTCTGGTTTAAATTTTAAATCTTTATAGTTAATATTTATATCTAATAATAAAAATGTATATCAGATTAATTATTAAAATTTATAGTAATTTTGCTATAAGCATAAATATTATATTAAAATAATATTCATTTAAATTACATCATTATTAAAATCAAATTATTAAATTATGATACATTTCAAATCTTTAATTAATGAAATTTATTATTTCAAATTTCAAATTTTATTCACTTTTTTTGGAATCACAATAAATTAATGAAATTAAAAGATGGAATTACTAAAATATCTCCAAGCAAATTATAAATAAATTACCAGATCAATAATTATTAAGACTAGGTCGAATAACATATTATCTAAGGAATATCTTAATAATTGAAAATTAAAAATTCAACTCCTAAATTTAGAGTATTTACAGAGTCTGAAAAAATTGATAATAATAAAGATTATTTCTTAAATATCTTATAATATAAATCAGGAATATAGATTCTCAAAGGATCTTTGTTAATGATTTACTAAGTATTATAATTTGAATTAAATGTTACTTAATAAAAAGAATTAATACAGAGGATAGTAATTGATGAGAACAACTATATTAAAACGAATAATTAAAAAAAGGATAGGTAAATACAATGAGTCCAATTTTAAAGAAGTATTTAACAGAAGATAAAAACTTTTAGTATTCAACAAAATTAGATTATAATATTATAAAATAGAAATTACATTAGATTTGGTTAAATTTTTATTTTACTTTATGAAAAAGAGATGAATAAAACTAAAAGAAATTAGTTTTTGCTATTTATTCTTTTTTTGTTGTTTATCCACATAATATAATAAATATTATTTACATATTTTTATCATCTGATTTCTAATTAAAGTTAGGGGACCATTAACTTTCTTTCGTAAATAAAAATCTTATGAAAAATCCTGAAATTTAAGGGGTCATTTTTATTAAATATTAACATATTACAAAAATCCCTTTTTTTATAAAATCACATTATGGAAAATTCATTTTATAATTGAACAAATAATATTAAATTAAAAATTTAATCTATTACTGATTCAACAAGAAACCTTTTTTATAAAGTAACATTTTAGAACAGCATTGTAATTAGTCAAAACTATGGTTTTAAAAAATCTTCAACTAATCGAATTTTAAAGGTTTCCACATCTAAAAGTCATTAAAATTTTCATCAAGTTCCTTTGGCAAAGTTATGCTGAACCAGGGCCGATCCTGATTTATTATTTATCCTTTAAATTCCCTGGTAATTTAATCATAATAAATTAATTATTCTCAGTTTTAAATTAGATTGATAAATCATATCAGACAAGATTTTGATTTTCAGTCTAAAAAAAAACTGAAGAATAATGAAGGTCTTTGTGTTTCAACTGTATATTAAATATTTATTAAACTTTTGGGGTTGGAAGTTCAAGATTGCTTGTACCTGGAGAAGAAGCATCAATCATAGAGTTAATGATTTAAATTTTAGAATATAATTAAAATGTTTAAAAATTCTAAATATGATGTGTAAGGTAACATTTAAATATTGTAATAGAAATAATTAAGTATATATTAAAATTTTAACAATTGGAATATCTTGAACAATATCAATAATATATGAAGCAAATTTTGTTTCATTGGTAGTTATTGGTTACCAAAGTTTTATGTATATAAATCAAAAAGATAATTATATCAAAAATTAAGACCTTCATTAACTTTTTAAAAGGAATCACGCCTTAGATTTTAGGTAAGATAAGAAAAGCAATTTAGCAACATAACTTCTGAATTAATTATAAAATTAAAATAGCAATATTATATTTTAAATATTTGATAATTTCTACTAACTTTATATCTTTTAATATTTCAATAATTTTTATACAAAATTATTAAAAGTAGCTATTTTATATAAATATTTCAATAAATAATGTCTTACAGATTGACTTTGAATCTTAATTTACATATTCATTAAGGAAATCTATAAGATATAAGCTATAATTATTAAAAGAATATTAAATTATGATAATTTTTCATGATTAATCAAATCTAACAACATTTGAATTTATAAATTAGTGATTATATTATTTTTATTTTGAATAAATGCATTTATTTTATTTGTGAGTATTTTGAAATTAATTTGATTCTTTTTTTATGAGTGATTATATTTTACCTTTTAGAAAAGATAATTTTAATTATTTAAAGAAAAAATTAAATTAAAATATATTTGATTTTATGAAAAATATGAGAGTTATAATTTGAATATATAATTATAATATTAATATTTAATAATAATGCTGTTAAAAAAAAAAAGAGAATTCGAAAATCAGAAAGGGAAGGAGAATATTTAAATTTAAACTTCATCTAATAAAAAGGGAGAATTTTAAGTTAAGCAAAAGCTTCTATTACCAAAAAATCTACTTTATAAATTATTCCTTTTCTTAACTCCAAAAGAGATTAATAAACTCATCAGAACACTCAATCATTAATATTTGTAATTAATAAGTCAACAATTCTGGAATGTATTATTCTTATTTAGCAATTAGTTTTATAACAAATACAATCCTTTGTTATTTGATGACCTATATTCGAAGTTCAAATTTTTATAAGAAAGAAGATCAAAAGGCAAATTATATCAAGTCTGCAATAGATTGACTGGCTAATAATTTGTGCTTAGAGAACTTGACACAATAAAGGCAAATGCAAATCATAATGATGGAGTGTAGACATCAGTTCTTAGAGAAATTTCATATATGAAATCATTAAAATCTCATCCTAATATAGCTTCTATTGTTTAAGTGAAAATTACAAATCATATTGTTTCAATCTTATATGAATATTACCCTTTGAATTTAAGAGATTAATTGAAATAGACAGAGTTGACAATTGAATAGATTAAGTCACTTTTTTTATAAATATGTTAAGGTGTTGAATATTTACATTAGAACCATATATTACATCGGAATTTGAAACCGGATAATATTTTAATTAATAATAAAGTAGTTAAAATTTCAGATTTTGGAATGTCTAGATTAGAAACCTTTCCTATAATTCCATATACTCCAGAAGATCCAAAAGAAAGAGAAAGATCAAACAGAGAAATTAAAAGATTATGGTATAGAGCTCCAGAAATGTTATTTAGAAAATAATATTACAGTTGTGAAATTGATAGTTGGTCATTGGGATGTATTTTAGCAGAAATGGCTTTAAGAAGTCCTTTATTTAGTGGCAAAACTGAAATTGAATATTTATTTGAAGTATTTTAATTTTTGGGATCACCTGATGAAAATGACTGGAATTCAATATAAAGTGATGTTAAAATAAAATTCCCTTAATGGAGAAAATATAGTCTATAAATCAATGAATTATAGAAAAATGAGATAGTAGACATAATTTAGAATAGAAAATAAATTTATGAAAAATTAATTACTCTTAATAAAGTTTTAGGTAATGATGGAATTGATTTATTATAAAAACTATTATGTATAAAACCAGAAAAACGATTAGATATTATAGAAATTGTTTAACATCCTTTTTTAAATGGTGTTATTCAAAATACATAGATTCATTATATAGAACCTAAATTCAAAGAATATTTGGAATTCTAAACAGAAATTAATCAAACTATGAGGAGTACATTAATTGATTGGTTGATTGATGTATGCATTCATTTTGAATTGATGGATGAAACATTACATCTATCAATCATTTATATTGATTTAGTTTTATCAATAATGAAGATAAATAGAAAAGATTTATAATTAATTGGAGTTACGTCCTTAAAATTAGCTGAGTAATATATTTCATTAAATCTATAGTGTTTATAATGAAAGGTCTAAGGAATACTTTAAATAAGAAAATTGTAATGCTTATGCTTATATTACTGCAGATGAATACAATGAAAAACAAATTATCAATATGGAATAATAAATTCTTTCAATTTTAGATTATAACTTAACTTACAGAACACCAATTTAATTCTTAAAAATTATTAATTCAAAATTGAAAGTTTCAAATGAATCTTAAATGTTATCTTACTTTTTTTGTGATTTTTTTATTATGGGTTATGAATAATTGATTATTGAGAGATAATTATATGCAATTTGTTGTTTATTATTAGCTTTAAATACTAAAAATGAATAGATAAATTCAAATTAGCAATTTTAATTTACTGAAAAAGATGTAATAGAAGCTTTTGATAGATTTTATAATGTGTGGTAATTTATTAAGTTATAACCACAAATTAACTCTTTAGAAGCTTGTATGTAAAGACATAAACATTTAAATCCAAGAGACATATAATTAAATATTCCACACTAAGAGTTTATAACTTAATTTTTAGGATGATAATTCTTTTATATATATATATATATATATATAATGCTGCTCATAATTGTTTCTTCAAAGACACTACCTTCCGTATTTATCATTGAATTATTAATTAGAGCTATTTACAAGACTAATATTTTAAATTTATTTTATACGAGTTTCCCATCTTGTTGAAAGCGTTGACATCCTCATTCAACTTAATCTTCTTAATAGTATGTGGTTCTTACTAAGTACTGTCTTGATGTTCAATGCTATCATCCTAGATGGACGAGAAGTAACCACATCTATCAGAATCGGAATGAAGAGTCGGTGTATTTTGAGGCATACTTCGATTCTTCTAAAATTCATCAGCCATAGAATGGATGATATTGATGACTTTGTTCTTCCTAAACTTCTATTTGTGGTTTTTAGATTCAGTGTGCTTATATTATACATTATTATTTACTTATAGATAATCCTCTATATATTATTTACAAACATTGCAATAGATTTTAGTTCCCCTTGGCTTTGGGAAGAGCTTTCAATGATAATTATATATTTACTAAATCCTTGTTCTTCACCTATACTTCCTATAATTTCTTCTCAAACTAAGATCTATAATGAATACTATTAGCTAAATGAACAGGCTAAATTATATTAAATTTAAGTACCTAATCTATTTAGAGGATAAACCCATGTTAAGAAGGCTCTCCATCATTGTTTAGTATTGGCACTGTATTTAGCATACACCCTAAAACTCTGAACTTTAGAATTAAACTTACTCACTATACATAGGGGAATAATCAATTGCAATCTTAGTATCAGCAGAATCCTTACAACGAGGTTTCATCATAAATACATTTTTCAAATCTAACACAGAATTTAATTACACTTGGTAAGTACTCAATTAATCCATTCTCTCTTCTTTATATTTTAATTAATGATTATAATCATTGAAAATATATTATATACAGATCAATACTTTTATTAAAGAAATTCATTCCTTTCTCAAAACTTTAAATTACAAAACTCTTTTAATTGTGATAAATTATTCATTTCAATTTCCATATTATATATATTTATTAATTTTCTTAATCCTCAATCTACTAACAAGTATCTTTTAAATATGTTATTTTTTAACACTTTTATTTTTCTATACTTCCCTTTGAAATTTCAAATATCAATCAAATATTCATAAAAATGTTGAATATGAAGATTAATTTGATATAATATTCTATAACTAAACTGATTCACTTAAAATTAAACACAAATTGTTATCATTTATTCATTATGAGATTTTACAAAGAATTTTAAATAGTTGCTATCAAAATTATATAGGATATATTAGCTATATCTTAAAGCAGTCTCAAATCTTTTTTAGATAATTTTAAGTTTATCCTATATTATCAAGTAATTCAATATTCATTTTTCATTTCTAATAGTAAATTTAAAAAAAAACAAAGTTTTCTAACACAACTTTTCAGTGACAATTATAATCTATTTTGTGATAAGTAAATTTAACAAGAGTTTAACATTTGATAAAATATAAATAATAATTATTAAATTTGTTAAAATATTTGATTATTTAGCATACTAATGATAAAAATTAAAAAAAATAAAGATTTCATAGGAACACTTAGAAATATTTTAGAAGTAGATTTATTTTTAATATAGAATCAAGAATATTAAGGGATAATATAATTGTTGAAAGAAAAAAATGGTTTTAAAATATTGGATCAGGAATAATTTAAATCTGTTATTTTAGTTAAGCATTTCACACATAATAATTACTCAAGTTTTAGAAGGTTTGCTATATATTAACACTTTAGATAACTTAATTTATATGGGTTTTAATCTCATAAGTCTAATAAAAATGAAATCCTTTATACAAATGAATCATTCAATTTTGAAACAGATAAAAAAATGAAGAAATAGCGTAAATCAGAAATATGTTCTGAAAATATTGAATTAGAGTAAAAAAGATAATTGAATTAACTCTTATAACTTTAATAAAATTAGAAACAAATGATAGAATAAATAAAAACAATTATAACCACTTAAGAAGAAACAAAATAAAAAATGAAATGTTAATTATCTGTAAAAATATAAATTATATTAGAATTATGTAAAACAAAGATTCAAATCAGATGAAAGAGATAAATTCCTTTTTCTCGCATTATCATTATACACTAACATTAAAGATTAAAAATTTAGTAAAATTATAAGTTAATTAGAATAATATATTGATGATCTAATTTAAGAGTCCAATTATTTTCCTTTTTTTAATTAATTAAAACACTAATTAATTAAGAATACGAAAACACTTTTTTCTCTTATAAATTTCTATTTTAATAAAGAAATTCATGATTCTAAGTCTGTTGATATTTCATTTAATGAATAAGATATGGAGGATAAATTAAGTTTAAGTAATATTAGTAATTACTTTGATCTATGATAAAAATGATTAATTAATATATTGAATATTTTTTATTAGATTAAATGAATATCTAATATTATAATCCAAAGGCATTAATCTTTGAGATAAAATGGATATATAAATAATTGATTTCAGAGATTTAATCAACTCCATTTACATTAATTTCTACAATCAGTTGTCTTTTAGCAATATTTCATATTAAATGTCATTTTTATTATTATTATTCATTTTTAACTTTATTTAATTCTTCCAAAAGGGGACCATTTTCATCAAAAAATTTTGCAAATATTTCAATTTCTCCAACAAGCTTTTCATTATCTAACATTAAAAATTCCTATTAATTTTTGATTGAATTGTAATACCTTTTCTTTTTGTAATTACTCTGAACATTCTTTAAATACTGCTAATACTTCATTCATTTTATTAACCTATAACTACTCTATATCAGTTGCTTTTGTTAATCTATCAATAAGTTAATCAACTTTTTGATTCTTTTCTAAGAGAACAGCTTATTCTTCTGCAGCTTTTTATATATCTATTTTCAAACTATTATCTAAATTTTCAACTTCTTTTTATATTTTATCAATATCAAGTTCTTCAACTTTATCTTACATTTTATTTGTACATTATGAGGCTAATTACACTAAAAAGTATTAAATTGTGTAATACATCTTTCTTCAAGTTAATTAATCTAATGTTCATATTATTTTTAAGCTTGTAGGATTTTCTCTTAGTAATTCTTAGCCATTTTTTATTCTTTCTCTTTTAATTATTATAGCTCTAGTTATTTCTTATTTATAGTTTCATTTAAAATATTTTGATTTGATTATGTTGAAAATTAGGTTGAAAATATTAATGTAGTTCTAATATGTTTATCTATTTAAGAATGCAGATTCTCATCACAGAAATAACACATTGTACGAGAACAGGTTTTGCAATTCAGAATGGCTATATTTTGATTGCATGTTAAACACTTTGAATTATTCATTTAATTAATGAATAAATACGAGGTATTGGGAGTTGTTGGAGAAGGTGCTTATGGAGTAGTTCTCAAATGCAAAAATAAAGAGACTAATGAAATAGGTTAAAATTGATGTTTAGTTGTGTAGTGGCAATCAAGAAGTTCAAGGAAACTGAAGAGAATGAGATTGTGAAAAAGAGTATTTAAAGAGAAGTTAAGGTACTTAGATTGTTAAGACACACTAACATAGTGGAATTAAAAGAAGCATTCAAAAGGTAGTATGATGTGGGAAGTTAATTAGAAAAGGGAGAATCTATTTAGTGTTTGAGTATGTGGAGCGTAATTTACTTGAAGTTCTGGAGGCATCTCCTTCAGGATTAGAAGTATTAACTATTATTATGTTAATAGCCATTGTATATTAAGAGAATAATTTTTCAGTTGCTTAAAGCAATATATTGTTGTCATCAAAATGACATAGTTCATAGAGATATAAAACCAGAAAATCTATTGATAAGTAACAATCATTAATTGAAGCTATGTGATTTCGGTTTTGCAAGAGTATAATGTTTATTTTAATTAAATTTAGTCTTTAACTGTATCAACTTAAGATCTCACTGATTATGTGGCAACAAGATGGTATAGAGCTCCAGAACTCTTACTTTCTTATTCAAATTATGATAAAGGAGTTGATATGTGGTACATTTAATAAATTAAAATAAGGGCAATAGGATGTTTATTATGTGAATTGACAGATGGTAATCCTCTATTTCCAGGTGAAAATGAAATGGATCAATTATATCTTATTTAGAAGATGTTAGGACCATTGACATAAAGTTAATAAGAAACATTCTCTAAGAATCCTCGTTTTTTGGGAATGAAATTTCCAGAAATATCTAAACCAGAAACACTGGAATAAAGGTAATTTTATATAATTTATACTAATTTTAGATATCTTTGTAAATTACCTAAAAAAGCAATAAATTTTGTAAAAGGATTATTAAAGATGGAACCAGCTGAACGTTTAACTTGTAAATAAGCACTTAGACATTAATATTTTGAAGATTTACCAGAAGCAATTGAATTCATGAGAGAATTAGAAATGTAAAATGATTAAGAAAAGAGATAAGTTAGTGCAGGTGTTCATAGAACTGCTGCATCACCTAATACATAATAAAATGTTATTAGAACTAAAGTATAAATAATTGATAATTAAATATATAGACTAGTTTTAAAGTACCTAATTATTTAGGAAATTAGTTAAATATGTAAAATACAGCTTATAATTATAATATTTAAGGATAGTAACATGAAAAAGATGGCAAATAGATGAAGAAAGCAGTAAATATTCATTCTAAAATCTAGTAGTCAATAGAAAAACTGGTTCCTGGATTCAAAGAATAAAAATTAAATATGAATTCTGATACAAATAAGATGAAAGTATCAGGATAATCTCAATTTAGTCAATAATAATTATAAATGTAATAGTCAATTAAGATTCAAAATTTAAATATCATATATAATTCAAATACTTATAATCAATTTTAAAAGAAAGGAGCCTTAACAAAAAAATGATTAAAAATTTATATATTTCACGAATATTTAAACGATCATAATTTAGGAACTCCCCAACTACAATAATGTTCAAGGAGTAAATTATCTGAATGCATTTTTATTTTGGCAAATCCCATTTCACCCCAATAAGTACCCCATGAATTTCTGACAATCCAATATTCAACTCCATCTTCAATACCCCAACCAACAACAGATACAAAGTGATTAAGTATTGTTTTATTTGTTTTCTGTGAAAAGATATATCCACCCTCATAATCATCTAATTCTTAAGTAGCATATACTCCACAAACAATTGGACCTCTATTAAATATTTCAATTTTCATATCTCTTGCAGTTTTTACATATCCAAATTCTGATACAAAATATCTCTTTGCATGTTTTACTGGTTCACATCCATCTTCATTACATTAATGACATTAATCCTCATCTGAACATCTAACTCGTTTTCCATTTATTGCTTCATATGTATGACAATGTTCTTCAGTAAATCCATTTAAATGTGCATGTTTAAAAGTAGGTTAAGCTAAACCTCCTCCACAACTACCTCCAGACATACAATTTAACATTGATTAAACAGAAAGAATAATTACAGGATATTTATTACCTAATTTAATATTTATTCTATCTGATATAGTTGAAGTAACAGCATGTGCCCAACATGAACCACAATAAACAGGAATATGTTGATTTCTGATATTTGTTAAATAATTGACACCATCAACATTTCTCCAATCAAATTAAGTAGGTACATCTGCATTTAGACTTGAAAATGGAGTTATTATTAATTAATCCAATTATAAAAATTGAAGCATATCTAATTAATAAGATTTACGTTTTTATTAAGATCTTTTTTCAATTTTTTTATTTGATTAAGTTTTAGCTCTTATTCCTTCAGTCCAAGTATCTATTACTTCACCATAACTACATTCTTGGATTTCCTCTATTGGAACTTCATATAAACTTGGATATTTTGGACCCAATGTGTTTTTCACAATCCAATAACTAGATTAACCACTGGTTCTCCAACCCACAACTTCCACATAATGATTGTTCTATCCATGTTGACAAGATACACTAATATAATTATATAATATACGGTCCATTCTTCACAACTTCTTACATAATATCTATTTATCCATATAGAGTTCCATAAGATGAAATTGTATATATGTAGTAATCATGTTATGCCCAACAACCCATTCCCTCTAAACAGTTTTTACATATAGCCATTTCATTACATTCTTCTTTTCTGGCTACATAATTTGTGCATGTTTCATCTGGTATCCAATTATCTTTAATATATTAATATGCATTTAATGCAGTTCCAGAAGAACAACCATCTGATTAAGTATCACATGATATTAAGACTTAAGTTGATAAAACTATTTCAGGAAAAGCAGCATTTCTTTTAATTTTGATTCTATCACTCAATGCTCCTGTCACTGCAAATGCCCATCCTCCATTACAAAATTAAGGTGAATTCTAATTTCTTGTGTAAGTTAAGAAGTTCTTGCCATCAACATCTGCCCAACTGAAATTTTCAGATATTTTAAATGCATTGCAAATTACTATTCCCAATAAAAAGAGTTTGATCATTTTATATATTTTATAATTATTTTCAATGTATGAATTTTATAATCAATTTTCTTAATGTAAATTATACAACTATTTTTATGATAAGTTGATCTTACATAAATTTGTTAAACTTGAATCGAATTCTTAAGTGATGATCTGTCTCATTATTTGTTTAAGAAATATAATAAGGATGGTTTTTTGAAAAAAAGAAATTCTATTTTTTATTAAAATTCATTGAAGATTTAATGATTTTGTTATCTAATTTGTATTTTATGCCAATTCTAAATAACAGAGAATTATCTGAAAATTTGATTCAGTTTTTAGCAAACTATATATAATTAGCCATATTTGAAATTATTGATTATTTATGAAAAACATCATCAAAAGAATAAGATTAATTTAACAAATTTGTTAATGGAATAATGAGATTAAGATTTATAATTAAATATGAGTGTTATAAAATATTATGATGATTTATAAATTATGATTAAATATTGTAATATTACATTTGAAATATTTTAGTAAATTATTATAAACATAAGATTCAAAATACATTAATATTCAAACATTATTTGAATTTATATTTTTATATATGTAATAGAATATTGAGAGTATAACTAGATTCAGTAGGATAAAAGATTTAAAATAAATGATAATAAAAATACAAAAAAAGGAGATTTGAGGAAAATAATTTATAATATTAGTGAGCTTTTATTTTATTTAAATAATTGTAATGCAAACATAGCCAGATAATGAATATCTGAATACTTAAGCAAATTAAGTATAAGAACCTATGAATAATAAAGGTTATTTTTTGGATCTTGATTCTTCTGGGGCTTCTTTAGAAGATGGTAGGATGACTAATCTATGTTTTCAACGGTATTGATGTTTGGATTATAGTAATTAGCTTTAGAATGATGGATTTAAGTTTCTTTGTATTCAACCTTATTGGGACTGGCTTAACTGTCATTACTTTAGAATTGATCCACTATGATCAAGAACCAGAAGCTCGTATGGTGATATTATGGGTGATATTCATATCAAATTTAATTTTAATGGGATTAGTTGTTATAAGAAATGCAGCTAAATTGAAATGGAGAGAAAGTAAAGGAGATATGTATAGTGGATTTAATGTTGAGCCTTTAGCGATATCTTTAGAGATTTTAATTATTGCAGCATCTCCTTTACCATTTTTAGATGATTATAGTTTCTAATTTGCAAACGATTTTGTTGAAGGTGAAGTAATGATTTAAAGTTTAGTTAGGTTTATTATTATGCTAATGAATTACTTTGTCTTACACTAGCATTTAGAGTAATCTTTTTTATTCGTACAACTTTATTGAATTCTTATTGGCATTCAAATAGAACTGATAGAGTTTGTAATCTTTATGCAAGTTAAGCAGATTATATGTTTACTATCAAATCTTTAATGAGGTAAGATATATGTATTAAAATTATTGAGGAATTAACCATTTACAGTGAATTATAGTGCAATGATCTTACTCATTTTTGTTTTTGGATATTGTTTGAGAATCTGTGAGAGTCCTCTTAATCGTATAGACATAAGTTCAAATGATTTTAGTAGTTATGCAAATTCAATGTGGTGTGTAATTGTAACTAGTACAACTGTAAATTGCTTATTCTTACAATTGCATAGTTAGGATATGGTGACTATTATACTAGAACATTGTTAGGACGGATTGTAATGAGTGTAGTTTGTATTTTGGGTAATTTTGTGGTTTCATCTATGATTGTAATAATCACAAATGAATCATATTTATCTACATTAGAAAATAAGGTTGTAATATTAATAGACAGATTAAGTCTAAAGAAATAAATGTAATAAGAAGCTGCCATGATAATTACGATATTTGGTAGGATCTATTATTCTAAAAGGTATTTATTATTATTTATATTATTTGAGACATCTTGATTTTTCAGAAGATGAATTTACTGAATTGAATAAGAAAATGAAGAAATATGCTATGAAATTAAAATTAACTACTCGTAAATATGTGGCAGCAAGAGCTTTGGGAAGCTAATTAGAAGAGATCAACAGTGGTTTTAATTCATTGAAAGAGAATCTAAAATAAACATCATAATTATAAGAGGATTTGATTAAATCAAATGAAAATCTTATTAATAAAATTGATAATAAGTGAATATATATACTATTATAATCTATTGGTTGTGAAAGTTCAAAAGTAGATGAACAAACCATTTCTAAATATAAATAAATTTAAAGAATGAAATCAATACAAAAATACAAAACATAAAAAATAATCAGATCTATCTATATTATAGAGAATAATCTGTAAAAAAATAAAAGATGCTTAAATTAACAAGAGAGGATTGTTAATTTAATGAAAATGGACATAATTCGGATAAAAACAAAGAAAAGAAATAATCTAGTAAACTAAAGAAAGCTGCTTTTTGATAATTATTATTTTATTGAATATCTATCAATGATGACTTTACACATTCCAAATATTTGGTTCCTCTATTACATCATATTTATGATATTCATGCTCAGTAATAACACCACTGTGTTTAATAACAACAGATTTTTTTGGAGCCCCAGATAATCCACCTAAAAATATAATTACTTTAATTACCTAATTTTTCAATGGCTCTCACATGTTAAAGACCATAAATAACTTCTCCAAAAGCAATTGACTTTTTATCTAACCATTCAGCAGGACCCAAAGTAATTATGAAACCAGCATCATTGCTATTGATTTTAGGATTTGATGTTGTAAGTAATCCTGCTCTATCATGTTTGATTCTATAATTTTCATCAGGGAATGTTCTTCCATAGATAGATCCACCTAATGCACCACCCCAAATTCCTCTAAATGGTAGAATTTTATGGATTTATGAACCCTCATAATGAAGCTTCTTTCCATCTATTTAAACTCCTTGAGCAATTCTTAAAAAATTTGTTGCTGTTTTAGGAGTAATATTATCAAAGAGCTAATATATTGATAATAATAAATACTTAGAATACTATTCTACCTAATGGATTACCACCCACATCAACATCAAAAAATACTCTTGTCAATGGATTTGGATGAGCAGGTGGAACTGATATGGGGAATATTCGTCCAATTCTAAACATTTGTATAATAATAATAATAAATTATTTATCAATTTTATTGATTTTTATATATTTTATCACTTTTTGGTAAATATTTACTTAAGCATATCCTCCAAAGTTATTATATAATTCATATAACCCTACAAAATTGAATAAATAATTACTCTAAGTTCTTTATCCTCTTTAAATAGTAAGGGACATAATTCATAAGACTTTAATTTGGTATTCTTATAAGTGATCAAAGAGGAAGCATTCTCTGAAACTACAGCTATATTCAATCTAATAATCAAAACATTTGAATGGACATAGAATTAAGTCTAACCAAATCTGAAAATAGCATCCATTCCTTCTAATTTATTTGATTTAATTGGGAAAACCTAAATATTATTAATAATTTAATGTACAGAATTTTGATGAACTTCATTAATTTCAACATAATAGAATCTAAATTTATCTAATTCATTTTCTAAAATTAAATCTCCAATCTTCAATAAGATTTTCTTTAATAATGCCCATTCATTCAACATACTTGTAGAAGTTGATAATTTACATCCTAAAATAAATAGATATAATAATTATTACTTTTTCCTGTAGTTTATTATATTATTCTAGTTAATTTGAATAATATAATTTCAGTAAATGACAAAACATTGAATGTAAATTTGAGTTAATGATTCAATTGTATTTGAACTTTACTGAATAAATATTCAATCATATATAAAGGATGTGATTCTGGTGAGTGTATAATTTTATATTCTTCAGTTTATCCTTTATCTCTCTTAACTTTACATCTTATTAATGGCCATGATACTATTTATGGTGCTATATCTCTTAAGTTTTATAATTCTTCTTCACTTGGTGATTGAGTGAGGAAATCATCCAATGATTATGCATAGGAATTCAAATCATACTAATATTAATTATATTTATTACACAAGCTTATTGGATTATTGATAATTGATCATATTTTTAATTAAATTATTCTTCAGTCATAACATCAGGAATATATTGATAAACTTACAAATTAACAATTGGATATAATTCTGGGAATGATTAATCAACTTAAATACTCTATTTATATTAAGTATTTCTTTATCTTGGTTAATAATTACTATAAGGAACAGCTAAATATATTATTAAATAAGATTACGATATAATTTATCCTAATATTTCAATTTGATGTCTGGTCTAATTCTAGAACTATACAATGACCAAACTTAATTACAGATTTAAACTCTTATTTCAGAATCATTACTTTCAGTTTAAACTATACCATCTCTTAATTCTTTCAATATTTTAAGATGATTCATCTTATCTTAAGATTCAAATAAATAATTATAAATTTCTAAATCCATTATAGTTTAATCTAAATTAAAGTTTTTAGAATAATGTAATTCTTAATATTCTCTGAAATTCTCCTTTGTTAATTTGGTTTTCAATTAAATATAATCAATATTATCTGATCCACTTAATTGAGCCACTTTGAATTATGGATATGAACATAAATTATTAATATGTTCTAAGTAATTTTCATAATAAATAGTTTCAATACTCTTGATTACTTCTTCTGCATTCTTCAAATATAATTAAGCTAAAGGATATGGATTATTAGGATTAGAGCTTTTCTAAATATTAAAAGTAACTTCGAAATAGAAATTATCTTGATGATTAACTTATTTTTTTTTAATTACCTTTTAATCAACTTATTAACTTTGAGTATTTTGTTCAGTAATTTATTCATTATTGTTCCTTGAATTATCTTATTAATTTTCATTAGATTCTTTGTTTTCTTTAACATTTTCTTTTATTTCAATAGGTACTTTTTTGTATTCATAAATTATTGGCTCTAATTTATTAGAAACTTTGAATTAAAAGTGGAATTTAGATTGAACTATAAATTAAGGATTAACAAATTCATCTTCTTCATAATATGATAATGTTTTTATTTCTTAATTTAATTTTTCACATTCAAATCGAATGTCCTTTTTAAACTTTTAACATTGATTAACTATCTATCTACAATACTTTAAAAGACAAATAACATTAATCCATTTATCATTAGTAAAAGATCCTTAATTTTAATTTGCTCTATTATTTTCAAAGAATTTTTATAAGAAATCTCCACTTAATTATTTACTATAGTATATAGTAAAGAATTTTCTTATTTCCATTTACAACTTTTGATCTTTCTCTAATGTATTAGATGCAACTGATTTTTTATATTTTAATAAACATTTATAAGCAGGATTATCCAATAATTTGTCAATATATGCTTGATGTCCACTAAATTTAGTTTATAAGATAGATTAAATCAATCTTTGATATATATGACTCTATTCAGCATGTCTTTTATTCTCATTCTATGTTAATACTTCCTTTACATGTTTGATATCTTCAATTTGTTATTATTTAAGTTCCTTAAACCTCTATTCTGCCTATTCTACAAATTATAAATTAAATGGTTCCTTAAATCCATCTTTTAATAATCTAGCCTTTATTACAGGATCAATTTCTAAAGGAATTGATGGAGAACTAACTACTTTATATTATATAAAATATTTCTGAATCAATCTAAATATTTCTTCACTAGTTGTGGCAAATAGTAACAATTATAAAAATATCTAGAATTGTAATTAAGTGTTGCATCCTTTAATAATTTATTTTCTTAAACTCTCATCTGACTCAACAAACTTTTTTTCATTTTAACCTTTATCCTTCTTTCTTTTCTGATTGACAAATTTAGTTTTTTTACCTTATTATTTTTCTCCAGGAGCCTATTCTCCAGGAACCTATTCAGCAGGAGTTTATTACACTGGTTTCTATTAAGGAGGTTTAGATATCCTAGCTTAATCAGAAATAGCACGAGCTTGAGGTGCTCCATCATCATCTTATTACTATTGTACTTCTTCTTTAAACTCATCTCCACCTGGTCTTTAATCTGCTGATTGTAAACCTAATTATTAATTTTCCACTGGCTACTATTATTATTATTCTTCCTATTAATCAGGAGCTTTATCAATTTATTAATTTTAATTCTATTCTTATTCTGCTTCATCATCTGTCACTTCTACTAAAACATCTTCATATTCACTCTTATCATCTTCAACATTTTCTTCTTAATCTAATTCTTTATTCTCTTATTCTTATTTTCCTGATTCCAAATGTTTTTATACTATTTTGAAATACACATCTAAGGCTTGATCTATTAATTTTGGTTCAAATAAGAGTGTTGATTTTATGAATATTAAACCAAGTTCAAATTCCATTAAGAATGCAATGAATATTTAATTATCTTTATTTAATTTCTCCTCATACCAAAACATAGGGAAATTTAAAAGATAATAATACATTTCATGATCATTATAAATTAATTAGTGGATATTTTTCTAAAATGCTTCTTTATCAATTAAAAATTCTAATTATTTACTTGGTATCAATAATTTGTTAAGTAATTACAAAAATTCAGGATCATTTACTATTTAATTATCTAATCTTTAAGGATCCTTAGGCGAAAGATGCTCAACATATTAATCAATTGTAAAAGCAGGTCTTTTAACTGGTGTTCTACGAATATCATCATTTGTAATTTCATTATCACCATCAGGTTGATAAACTGAAGGGAAACAGAATTTTACACCTTTTTCAATACCATTAACTTTCAATCTAGTTAATGCTTATTATGATTTATTTGCAGCTCTCTAATTTGCCTAATCCCCCTTATATTAAAATTTCCTTTAACTTATTGTATTTTACCAAAAGGGTGCTTTATGTTCAGAATATTCCAAATAATCTTTGATGATATTTAAACAAGGAGAAGATATCTTTTAAGAATTTTATGAGATGAAACAAACCATTAATTCATTTTCTAATTTTATTGATGGTTTATCTGAATTATAGTGGTTCAATCTTAAATATCTAAACATTCTAATACAATTACTAATGTAAGTATATCCTTATTATTCGAATTGAGTGGCCTATTACAAGAGTTATTCATTAGTATGTAACATAAATCTAAATGAAGTGCAGGGCTCAACGTTACTTACTTTAATCCTAAACCTATGCAAAGTATCAAAGTATTCATAAAAACAGAAATTAGCAGCAACTTAACCTAACGAATCCTTGATGTCACTATCTTCATCTTTTCCATCTTGTTGTTATTCTACTCCATCTTCACCTTCATTAATTGCTCGTGCCTACGCTATCTCTTATTAACCTTCGGCTTTTTCTTATTCCACTTCTTACTTTTTGACTTATTTAGATTCACCAGAAGCCTTCATTAATAAAGGAATAAAAGCTATCTCCTTTCCTTTCAAAATTTATTTAAATAGAACATCATTTATCAATTTAGTATATGTTCTGAATCTTCTATAAAACATTAAACATTCAAATAATCTATTATTAAATTTTTCTAATAATGTTGTTGTGTATGTTTTATCATAAGGCAATTTAAATAATTCTGTAACTATCTCTTCACATTATACATCTGAATAATTTTTAAAAAAGTATATTAAATCATTTGATGATAATACTTCATCTAATCTTCGCTTTTTGAATGAGGCGATTATATCTTTATAATTAGGTTTTGAACTCAATTTTTTTGTATCTTCTTTATTTTTAATATATTTAGCTGCTAAAGCCTATAAATTTTTATCTTTAATTTATCTAGTTTTAATAAGTTCTGAAATTTCAATTAATTCCTATTCAAATAATTATTTAATATCCAATTAATCAAATCTTTATAATACTTCACTTGCTAATTTAAAAATAATAACTTTTTAATCATTTGCCATGTCTGGCTTTAGATATTTCATTGTTCTATGTATATTTTACAAAATATATCTTTGAAAAGCTTCCACATCTTCTCCAGGTTATAATAATTTAACATTCACAGATTTAATTATTCTATTAATTTGTTATAAATAGATATTTGCATTTTTTATTTGATAATGTTATGCTAATACTGAATTATTAGGATTAATGACTCTCTATACTAAATTAAGGAATATTTTGTTTTTTTCAATAGGTGTCAATTTACTAGAAGCTACTTAGAATAATAGTTAATCCATATTTTAAATTCCATAGATCATTAATACATCTAAAGTCTTCTCAAATTCATTAAAAGTATCACAAATAGGCATTCCATATCTTTGATATTATTTAAGTAATTAGTTTAACACTTTCTTATATGATTATTATCCAGTTCCTTAATCATATTAAGTAAATACGGACCTAAAGTTTTATCGTTATAATGAAGATTTCCAATTCTTTAAATATCTAAACATTAATATATCTTTTTCAAAATTAGACTCAAATTTTTTAATATCTAATCTTTCACTTTTTGGAAAATGAGTTCTGAAAAAGTCATCGAATTCTAATTAAATAGATTGAGTCATTTCAACTAATTAGGATTAAATAGAAATTGGAGTTCTAATTTAATCCAAAGCTTCAGGGAATTTGGCAATGTCTACTTTATATTTCTCCTTCTTCTCCTTTATAGCAGTCTTAAAGAAATAAACTGTTGGGTCATAACATCTCACTTAAAATTCACTAGCAATATTTAAATATTTATTGACATTTTCCTCCTATGCTACTTCCCTCTTTTTATTTTATTATTATTATTATTATGATTATGGTTATGATTATTTCTTTTATTATTTTTTCTCTTCTGATTAATTTTATATAGAGACTAATTATGGACCTCCTCCATCTCCATCTCCACCTCCATCTCCATCATCTGGTTTATTGTTATCACCTCCTTCATTCAATTCTTCTGGATCCTATGAATCTTTTGTTGGGGGTCTTCTATATTGTCTAAATTAAAGGTAGCCTCTGGGGTCAAATATTTACATATTGGCAATAGTTGCAACTAGATGAATAGTTTATCTAATCATTTGTGCATCCTTAACATATGGTAAAATCTATTCTAGTTTTTCATATTGACCATTAAGAGCAATAGATCTTAGAGTATTTTCAATATTGATATATTGAATATTATCTTTGATTGCTGAAATGAATCTTCTCACATCCAATTTTGATGCCCAATTTTTACCTTAGGCAAAAATGTAAGGTTAAATCTTATTTTAATTTGGGTATGTTTTCTTAGGTTTTGGAATATCAAGATCAATCAAAGTGTGAATTTATTACATAAACATATTTTATCTGAAAAAATCAACATATCTTTATTTCCATCTTTCATCTACTTTTGTCTCATTATTTCTTATCCATAATGCTACTTATTATTGAGTAACACCAACAGATTTTCTAGTTTAAAATGAATTTAGAATAATTCCATGAAGATTTTCACTAAAATTAGATGATTTGCCATAGGTCAAAGGTAATATCTTCTCTGCCTTATAAGTCAATAGCAATTATTCAACTTATTTTTTATCAAGTAAATCTTTATAAGATCCATCTTCATCATTAAAAATCACATTAGGATCTACTATAAATTCAAATAATTTGCGATTATATTCCTATTATTATTTTTCTCCTTCTCCTTCACCTTCTGCTCCTGCATTTTCATTTCCTTAATCTTTTGTTAATACCAATCTTATTAAATCTCTTAATGGTTCTTTATCCTTACAATTAGATAATGCTTTAGCCAACTATTTAATATCCAATTTATCCAAACTTTGAACTGGGAATTCTGTCAATAAAATATTAAATTTAATTCCATTAAACAATTCAAGTATAGTAGATGGTGAACAATCATATTAATGTTATAAAGGGTAATAAGAAGATGTAATATTAGTTGGCATAGGTGCAACTAATAATTCTATATATTATTAAGTAAACTCTCTTAATTAAGATAATAATTGAGAGGCTACTTATTCAAGTCTTTAAGATCTAAGATTTCTGATTTCCAATAACATTAATGTCCATATTTAAATTGTGTAAAGAATTTTTTGATTTTATTCTGATTCTACATCTGTTGGGTCATAGTTTTAATTTTACTTGACTTCATCATACATTTATTAGAGAATGGCAAACAATTTTTGTTATTATTTATGTTTGATTAATTATCGATAAGGTAAATTGACATATCTAATTATTTTTAATTCATTATATGGTGGAATCCATTTAATGAATCTAAATAGATCATCAAATGATTAGAATAATGTTTCAGGTAATTTACCAATTATTTAAGAAATTACCAATTGATTCTAACTATCCCAAACAAATGAAGATTTTGCTTTCTATTCTTATTATTATTCTTATTATTCTTATCCTTCTTATCCTTCTTATTATTAAGTATTCTCCTCTTCATCAATATTAGGAGTTAACATTTAGCAAATGAATAATGATGTACCAATTTCTCTTTAGACTCTATCTAATTTCTTTTTACATTTAGATCTCATTATTTCTAAGTACAATCCTAGAGGAGTAAAATCACCAGCTCTTAATTTCTGGGATTTTAATGTCTCAAAATTAGATTCAGAGGATTCATTCACTAATAATTCAATATTTCTTAATAGATCTAATAAATCACTTTGATTTAAATCTGGATTTTAAAGTAGACAATGTATCATATTTTTTTTATAATCCTTTTACATTCTTAAATGTTCAAAAGCTTTTCTAGCTTTTTCACGTTCTTTTCCTTGATTATATAGATCATCCTCTGAAGGTTCTTTATTTTCTTTTTCTTTTTTTTATTTAGCACCACCATCACCTCCATTATCACCATCACCTCCATCATTTCCATCACCTCCATTATTATCATTATTTTGTTCATCTTTCTTTGTTTCCTTTTTAGGTACTCTACCTTCAAATAATTCTGAATTTGGATCAAATTTGCTGAATATATTTTTTAATTAATCAGGATAAGCTGCAAAAAGTGATTTAATAACATCAAAAGGTGCTGTTTCCAACATTCTTGAAAATGGTGTATTTCCTTATTCATCTGCTACAAAAAACCATTCAGAATAATTTTCAAATATAATATGACTCTTATTCCATTTTTATCTTCTTACTACTTCATGCATTATATTTTATCCTATTGATTTTAATTATAAGGAATCTGATTTTTCATCTAAATCTTTATTTTTTGGGAAACATGGAATTTCAAAATATATAGACTTTTTAGCTTCAACATGTGCTTTCTTTAAAGCTCTTGTAAATTTAGTATCTACTTTAAATATTTCAATCATTTTATTCAATTTACTTAATACCATAACATGTTCATAATTTTTATGGTCAAAATCTAAAAATAATATTAATTAATAGATTACTTTATAAAAAGGGAGGTGTTTCAGATAATACATTCTCTGGAGCATAAGAATAATTTTAAATCAACAATCCAACTTCAGGTTTCTTTTCTAAAGTTTTGATAAATTCAATAACTGATTTAAGATTTGTATTTTTCCTTAAATGTTATCCAATATTTTAAAACAAATTATTAGAGAAACTTTCTAAATTCATATCATCTTCTCCAATAATTTTCAATTCTTACATGGCTTCTAATACTCCTGATAGATCATCTGTAACAAGTAAAAAGTCCATTAAACAATCACCAAATTCTGAACATTCAGTTAATAATAATTAATTAGCAGTACAACCCATAGTATACAAAGCTTCTTCAATAACTTTTCTTGTTAATCTTCCTTATCTACTAAGATTTCTCATATTTGCCTAAACTTCTGTAAATGAACCATTTTTATCCAACTCTTTAATCAATGCCATAGTAGCATCAGCATGTTATTTTCTCATATATCTTGATGTTGGTCTAGATCTACCATATTTATCTGGATCTGTATATTTTTCTTCATATATAATGTGTAATTGTCCACATTCATCAGCAACTACTTCAAGAGTGCATTCAGCAACAACCTCTTAAGAGACTTTATCAATCCTCTCAAGTACGAATTTATCATGTTCATCAATATACCATCTGTATTCTTAGCCTGACATTGCAGCATCAATGATTCTGTGTCTAGCCTTTTCTTCTTCTGTTCTAGGAGATCCTGGAATTCCAGAATGTTTATCTTAATATTATTATGCATTTCATACTTAAAGGAATCTTCTCATGACCAAGTTAAATAAGTTAAAATTAGACATTACCAATATAGGATTTTGTTTATTTCATTGTTTTAAACATTTCTTTCTCAATTTAAGTTTCACATATAATTTTTGATTTAAAATCAAGTATTTCTCTTGCATTTTGATAATCATTGTTTGATATATCAAATTATCCAACATATTTCTAAAATTTAATATTTATATATAATTACTTCATCATTATTTTTTATTTTCCATAGTATTATATCAACTGGTTCATATGCATTTCTAGTGTATACAAAATCTAACAGATCTTGTTAAGCTGCATCAAATTCCTTAGGAGTTGTCTTCATTAAACTCTTTTTACGATAGATGGCTTCCCAACAAAACAATGAAGGAATCTAATATAGATTAATTCATTTTTATACCTTCTCATTCTTCTAGTTATATTCATTGAAAAATTTAAGTTTTTGGATACGCAATACACATAACACAGTATTATTATTAAGTTTTGGTTCAATTGATCCAAATAACAATTGTGTTTGTGTCTTCTTGAATTGTCCGTTTGTCAATTAATTTAATGACTTCAAATAAACTTAAAGTTTGGGTCCTTGCAATTATTGTTATTATTCTCCCCCAACTCCTTTCCCGGTCCCTGGTTAAACAGATTCAGGAGTAGCATCCAAACTATCTAAGGGCTTAAGTTTTTTCAGGCTTCTAGCGATCTCTGTGTTTTTGCCTACAACCACTTGTGGCTTTATATTCATGGATTAAGATATTAACGATTGTGGGAAAACTACAGTGTCATTCTGTCCTTCTTTTCTATCAAATAAATGAAGTCTCTTACACTGGTAAACTCACCAATGAGTATATCATCGATGAATTTTAATCCTTTGGAACATTGGCTGTCTTAGGCAAAGGTTTCAACTCTCCAATCGACTATATTTATGAAATTTGTAATTTACTTTTGTTACATTTGCCTTTTGAGCCTTCTGCTCCTTAATTGATTCTGAATAGAGGAATTAAGACGGCTTCATTTGATAAACAGTTTTATTTTTTAATATAAAAATTAAAATCTTTATTGATGTATTTTCAGCTATAAGAATAGGAATTTAAAACTAAAACGAAAATTATTTAAATATTCACACTATTTTACAATAACCATGTTATAGACATTCTATAAATTAGATATACAACTAATAAGTATCTATATTTCCTTTTTTCAGAATTCATCAAATTCTTTTGAATTTACAAAATAATCCCAAAGACTTTATATAAACATTTATTCAATTAATCGAATTTTGCTATTATAAACATAGGTTTAAATTATATATTATTTTAATAAATGTAATAATAAAAAGTGCTCTTTGGAAACAAATAGAGTGTTTACCTTTCCTAAGTTTGCTTCCAAGGTACTAAATACAGATTATATTCAACATCTGAGTACAATTATGTTGTTAAGGTATATGACAATGGATAGGAGAAAGTAATAACTTAAATTATGAATTCTAAATTAGTATTTGAATACTGAATTACAAGCTGTTCATATTTTCAAAGATTATGGAAATAGTAATATTGCCAAAGCCCTTGAAGGGGATCTGCAATAAAATATTAAAGTAATAGTTTTTGAAAAAGCTGAAGTCCTCCAAAATATTTTGAAGGATTCATAAAAAGGTTTAGAGGAACCTCAAGTCCTAAAAGTAAGCAGAAAAATAAGTGTAGATCTTATTAGATTTGAGCAAAGGATTAAAATAATGCCATAGTTTAGGCATTACTCATCGTGATATTAGACCTGAAAATATATTGATTGGATTGGACAAATAAGCTAAATTATGGAATTTTTAACGATGCTTTTTTTAAGTATCAAAATAATTTAATTAAGTAATACGATCATTTACCAAATGAATATATTCCTAAAATTAAAGAAGAAATTGAAACAAATACTTTTGAACATGTTAGAGCACCTGAACAAAAGGATTTCACTTAAAGATGGCCTATAACCAAAAAAGTTGATATATATGCTTTAGGATAATTAATGTATTACATTCTATTTAAAGTCCGCTATGATTAAAATCCTAATTGGATAAAAAAGTACTAAATTTATTATATAAGTCCGAAATGGGGTCTCTATAGTAATAAATTGTAAGATTTAATCAGACTACTATTGATTCCTAATCCAAAAGACAGATTAAGTGCAGAATAAATTGAAGAATACATTCACACATAGATAATAAATTAGAAGTATAAATATATTAATTATTTAGTCCTCTTTAATCTTAAATTCATATAAGAAGTCTATCAACAAATGAAAAAATGAATAGAGAAATAGTTACATAAAGGAATGAAAATGGTAAAATCAATTAATTAGAATTAATTGATTTTCAACATCCCTCTTCATCATCTCTATCAACTAAATTTGTTAAATTAGTCAGTAAAGTAGCCTAAAAAACTGATTTTTGGGTTGCTGCCTGTTTGGAAGAAGTTGATGCAGCCCCAAATTAAAAATATTTTCGTTATCTTCATGTCAAAGCATGGTAAAAGAAAGCAAAAATACCAAAGTTTTATGAAAAGCTATCCAACAGATTATAATTAAATTCTGTGATTGTTACTTTTAAAGCTTTGATATTATTACATAATTACTTGAAAAAAGGACCTTAAGAAGCTCTCTTAATTAATAATTAAAATTCATCACCTCTTGCTATATTAGAAAAGATAAAAAACTTTTAAGAAACAACTATGGCAAAAGTATCTAAGGATAAATTCAGATCTCAGTTTTTTTCTAATTTATTATACAGCTATTCTCTTATTTTAATAGAAAAGGTCAAATTTCATTAATATTACTTAAAGTATTTTGAAGGTAATTTTGCAATGGTTCCATTCTTTAATAATATGAATTCTAAGGATAAAGTAAAATTAAGTATTGCTATTTTAAATAATTTGATTAACTTATGGAAACAGTTCAATATTTTCATTAATAGTTTTTCATTCTAAAAGTCATCTCTCTATAATTTATAACTAGGATTTGCAATTACTATGGCAGATGAATTATACAATATTTTATGTACATGCACACATATATATTATGCTTTAAAATAAAGTACAAATTATATTAGTGGAATTCCAACTTAAAATAATGAAATAAAATAAATCTTTATCTAACTATAAGATGATTTTCATAACAATTTTTAAAATACTGCACTATTTTTTCAATCATGTAAATAGATTCCTTAATTTTATTAAATAATTCCTGATCCTCCAAAAGTTGTAATTGAGACTTTGAAAAAAGTACCATTTTTTCAACCTATTAAAGGAGAATTTAATATTTATGATTATCTAAGCTATTCTATGTCAATTGATGGAATTAAATTACCTTAAAGTTATGGTGAAATTATGAGTACTTAAGTGATCGAATATGATGATGAAGTTGTAGAATTGGATCCTAGAAATGAGAAGTTTGCAACATAATATCCAATTAAGCCAGTATTATCAGTATAACCATATAGTGAAAGAGTAAAGAAATTTAGTTTTGATTTGGATCCTATTGCAAATAGTTCTACAAATAATACAAACATATAATAATAATAGTTATAACCATAGTAATAATAATAATAATAATAGTAATTATAATAATAGTAATAATAATAATAATAATAATAATAATAATAATAATAATAATAATAATAATAATAATAATAATAATAATAATAATAATAAATAGCATAAGAAGCTCAATCTATTAATCTATAGTTATAAAATCAATAAAGTGTAAATAAGATAACCGAATAGAAAAAGAAATAAACGAAACAATAATAATAAGGATCCAACTTGTATTAAGGTTTAGAATTTTCAGATGAAGATGAAGAACAAAATAATGAGGATGAGACAGAGTAATTTCCAAATAAACCAAATGAACAATAATCAAATAATTTAAGAGCACCTTTAGTTAATTAAAATGTTAAATTAACAAAAGAATTATTAAATGATGATGAATTCTTGAATTGGGGAGAAAATAAGAATGGTTCAAATAAATAAAATAATAATCATTAAAATTTAAGAATTTAATCTGCAAATTCTTAACTTATAAATAATAATTATTTCGATTAATTTAATTAATTTAATCAGAATAAATAAACCAATAATATTTCTTAATAAAAAGTAAATCTAAGTTAATAAATAAAGTAATATTAATATTCATAATAAAATACTTTTTAAGTAGTTGATTATTTTTAAAAGTAGGGGAAAAGTAAATAAATTATCATCATATTTTAGACGTTTAAGAATGGATGATTAATCATGATCAATTAAAATTAGAAAGATTAATTGGTACTGGAAGTAGTTGTGAAGTTTATAAAGGATATTTGAGAGGAGGTGAAGTAGCAATAAAGAAAATGAAAATAAAGTCTTTGAATGAAAATCATTTAAAAGAATTTAGAAGAGAGATATCTGCATTTGTAACAATTTAGAAACATAATAATTTGGTCTAATTGATGGGTATATCATAAAAAGATGATGAATTATATATTGTAACAGAATTTTGTGCAGGAGGAACATTATTTGATTTATTACATAGAAAAAAACATATAGATATTACTTGGTAGAATAGAGTAAAAATAGCATGGTAAATAGCAGAAGGAATGTTACATTTACATAAATTGATTCCACCATTAATTCATAGAGATTTGAAAAGTTTAAAGTAAATGTTTTTAATAAGAAATATTAGTTTATTATTAGAATAGACATATGATTAATCTAAAGTGAATATAAAGATAGCTGATTTTGGTCTTGCAAGAGTTTAGGCTGATAATGGTGAAATAATGACAGGGATATTGGGAACATTTGTAATTTATATATATTATGTAAATTTGTAGCATTGGATGGCTCCTGAAGTATTTTAGAATGTACCTTATACTATCAAAGCAGATGTTTATTCTTATGCAGTATTATAATTAATCTAATTTTAGATAGTTTTATGGGAAATATGTTGCAGAGAAACACCTTATAAATCTTTATCTACAAACCCTCCAGCTATTATGAAATTAGTAACTGTTGATAATGGAAGACCAGATCTAAACTTAATTTAGTTGGGATGTCCATAATTTTTAAAAGATTTAATGATTAAATGTTGGGATCAAGATCCAAATAAAAGACCATCATTTTAAGAAATAACTTAATACTTGCGTTAATAATTATGATTTAGTTAATTAGTATGAATTTATTAATCTTTACAATTCATTATATTAAACAACAGCAACTATCATCCTCTTCAAATGGGGTATTATAAATCTTCCAATTTTCAACCACATAAGTTTTATTTAGATCATCTTTAAATAGTAGTTTCTTCTTTTCTTTTTACTATCCTTCTTATTTTTTGAGGATGGATTTAATATTAAGAGCTGTTTTACAAACAACTAATTGGTTTTCACAAATTATATCTGGAGATTCTATATGTAACAAAGATTAAGGTTTTAGAGAATCAATAGCATGAACCCTAGAATTCGTCATTATATTATTATAAATTATTTATATATAACTAACCACTAATCTGAACAAAAATTAAATAATAATTCCAAATGGTTCATTTAATTTCGCTTAATTCAAAGCTGAATCAATATAAAATTAATATAACTTATTAAATTGTAGTTCATATATAACACAGAGTAATAGGGATTATTAATTATTCAATGCTAAGTTAAAAATGTTTAAATTTATTACTAGAATAGCTTCAATAATAATTATGATATGCATTCACTTCTTTTTCTTAGCTATTGCACTATATGCTCTAAAGGCCTTTTTAGGAATACCAGTAGGAGGTCTTGAGAAGTCATAATATTTAATATGCTAATTCAATTTGATGCCTTCTTCACCTTTCTTAGAATCTTCAATTTTAAAATCTTTATAGTAATATTATGATTACTGAGAATTTCATTGAGTTTATCAGCATCAATATACTTTGATAGTGGTTCTAGAGGATCAATGTTATCTATAACAATCTTTCTAGAATTTAATTGAAATTCAACTCCTTTGAATTCTTAATTACGATCTAAAATAACTTGAGATGTTAATTATTATTACATTAATTAAAATAATGGATTGGGCAATTATAAGAACTAAAATTGCAACTGATTATAAAAGATAATGCTCTGAATTTTCAAAACCTGTAAATTAAGCAATAGTTCGAACTTATTAAACTAAAGCAAATGATATTAATATAATTTTTAGAGGAAATTACAAGCTCAATTTTAATTAGAGAATGTTAGATTAAGATTTAATTTTATTACTTTCTTGTCTTCAAAATTATAAAGAACATATCAAACACATTGATCTATCATTTAATGAAATCACTAATGTAGGAGTTCAAGAATTATCAAAATTTTTATCAGGTACTCAATCTTAATTAAATAAATAAGGATGTAATTCATTGGAAAGCCTAAATTTACAGAGTAATAAAATTAGTGTAGAAGGAGGGGAATTGATTGCAGAAGGTATTAAAGATATACATACTTTGACTCATTTGAATCTGAACTTTAATAATTTATAAACTAAAGGGGCAATGTCTATTGTTGAAATGTTATTTAATAATAAAACAATATTAGAATTAAATTTAGCTAATAATGGTATTGATCATGATGGTGTGATTGTAAATAATCTATATAGATTTTTTAGGCAATTACATCAATTTTGAATTGGAAGAATAATTCATTATAAATTTTAAATTTAGATAATCCAGTTTATCATTCTATTGGATAAGAGACAGCAATACATTTTGGCAAAATGTTTCATTCTAATAGAGGATTGGAGAAGATATCTTTACAAAAACATAATTTTACATGTGATGCCATATACATAATTACAGAACATTTATTAGAAAACAATAAATTAAGAGTCTTAGATTTAACAGCAAATAGAATTTCATTTAAGGGATGTGAAGCTATTGCTAAATATTTATGTGGAGAATATTGTGTTTTAGAGAGTCTTATATTAACATCAAATAGAACAGGACATTATGGAGCGAAAGCAATTGCATAGGCTTTAAGCAAGAATGTAAATATATCAAATTAGATTTTAGAGAACCTTAATACATTTAGATATGGTTAGAAATGATATTGATGATAATGGTCTAAAGATGATTGCAGAATCATTAGAAACTAATGATATGCTTGTATCACTTAAGCTTTATTAAAATCATTTTGGTTAGATGGCTTTATAAGCATTTCATAAATACAGAATGAAAAATAACAAAAAATAAGGTAGTTCATTATTTATTATATAATATTCTTGCAGCTGAAAGATTCTGGGATTTCCATACTTACATTGTAGACAATCATATTGAAATGGCATATGTAGAATAAAACATTCCATACGATATTTAAGTATCAAGTCAATATTTTATTAATTGAATTATTTTTATACAAGAATTCATATTAATAATATTAATATCAAATGTAATAAGAAATTGAATTGACACTTGATCAAATTTTAAATCAGATTGATAAACATGATGATGAACTAGATTTCTCTGAAGAGGGAGGACTTGTTCGTATAGTGGCATTCGATTAATTAAAACTTGAATTAAGAAAGAAGATTTTAATAATCAATTTATCAAATAATAGGTTGAAAATGATTGAGGAAGTCAATTAATTTTTTAATCTAAAAACTTTAGAAGCTAGTCACAATATTATAGAAGATGCAAAATTAAAAACTAAGAATTTGCAATATCTAAATTTATAATATAATAGATTAAAACGATTTCCTGATTGTGGTCCTTTAGCATAACTTAAATATATTGATATTTCTCATAATTCAATTACTACAATCTAAAATAATGATATAAAGTAATTCTCAAAAAATTTAGAAGTCTTATTGATTAATGATAACTTAATTAAGTTTGCTCATGGTTATGATATTAAAAATATACTTGAAGAATTAAAATAATTAAAAATCTAAACTTTAAATATTTTGAAAAATCCATTTTTAAAAAAATAACCACTTATTGAAACTGCATTTGCTGTTACATTATCTGGAATGTTAAAAATGTTGAATAACAAATCTACAGATTTATTTATACCTGATGCTAATTTTAATATTGAAGATATATTAGGTGATGTAGAATTTATAGATAGTGAACCTGAAGAAGAAGATTAAGAATATGCTAAATAATTATGTGATAAGATAACCAAATGTATAAATGATCCTTAAGCAATTGTACCTTGTCTAAGGAAAATAGATGATTTAGTAAATAGGATAATTGTTTAACCAAATAAAGCTGATTTGTGTTTTCTTGATAAGGATCTAAAAAAATAATAATAAATTGCAGAATATATAGATAGTTTCTTGTAAAATTGTTTTCTTTTTGCTTAAAATTAATAAAGTTATGTAGAATAAATTCTTAAGGCTTTAGCATAATTAGCAATTGTTAAATGCTTAGAAATTGGAAGAAGATGTTTTTAAATGGTTGTAGAAATAGTAAGAAGTGGGACTGGTATGGCAGTAATAGCTAGAAATATTATATAGAAATATAGTATTCCTTTATTATAGTAATAAAAGGAATTAGAATATGTTCCTACATTTGTTATGGAAGGTATTTTAAGAACAGTAGAAGAGAGAGATGATGAGGAAATGGTTCCACTAAAATTAGCTTAATTGAATTTTGTAGATTGGTTGGATTAGATTATGGCTAATTATATGAAAGATATGGATAATTTAAGAGAGGAATAATAATAGAGAGATGTGTTATTTTTAAATTTTATGGCATAATTAGCAGAATTCACAAAATTTGCAAATGAATATCATTATCGAGGGATTATATCAAAGAGTTTAGTTTTATTCAAATTATTAGTGGATTCTGATTTAGATGAATAATATATAGGTATATTGTATTTAATTAATAATTCAATGAAAAGAAGTCAGATATGCACTAAAGAAGTATTAGATTCAAGATAAACAGCATGTAATTTTATAAAGGATGTGGAAGATGAATTAAGGAAATATCTATTCATGTTTAAAAAGTTTAGAAATTCTCTTTTAAATCCTGAAACAAAAGAAAATAAAGATACTATTTTATTAAGATATGAGAAAGTTGGGATTCTAATATAAGTATTTGGAACAATATGGAAATCAGATGTGATTGTATAATAATAAATAAAAGAAAGCTTTTTAGTGAATGAATTATTATAGATGGCAACAATTCCAGCAATACATCCTTATTTAATAAATGCAGTTGCTATTTATATTAGAAAACTATTAAAAAATAAAGTTATTAAAATATAACAACCTGGAGTTGATAATAATGAAATTGTAAAATATATATGTTTAAAAACACATAATTGTGAATTATTATTACATTATTTAGGAGGAGATTATTTTGTATTAATGATGAAATAATTAGATCCAACAATTTAAAAATTAACTAAAAATTTAAGTTCATTATTAAATACAAAAATACATGAAGTATTTAGAAATATTATTAAATTACTTAAATTTTTTTCTAAGAATGCTATTGGATATGATAGTCCTATTTCTGATATTTGTATGGAAGTAAGTAAGAATTTAGATAATAATGGAAGAGATGAAGCTTTATTTATTGTATTAGCTACACCTAGTGATATGGTTAGATTAGCTGTTGTCTAATGCTTATTAACAATTAAGGTTTCTTAATTAGATTCTAAAGAAATTGGTAAATTAGTTACACTCTTAGGTTCCTATAGGAATTTGGGAGCAGGTAAAACAGAAAGTGTAGTTGCTAATATTATGATGATATTGACAAAGATTGTTGTTGGAGAGAAATCATCATCTAGAGAAGATTTTGTAACTGTATTCAGTTAAAATGCAACATTATATGCACTTGATATTTTAGAGAGAAATTAAGAACGTGATCTATTAGAATTAGGAGATGATAATGCAGAATATTAAGAGAAAGTAGAATTATCTTTTGGAACAAACAATTTTTTGAAATCATTACATTGTGAACCATTATTACAAGAGAATCTTAAAGGACTTTATTAGGCTTAATGTATGAAGAATGCACTTTTAAATGAAGATAGTTTACTTACACCTGAAACATTAGATATTGATGTTGAGAGATCTTTTATTGGTAAGTAAAGTTCTTATTTAATATCTGTATTATTCAATAGAGATGCATTATTGCCATACAAAAAAGTATCAGATAGAATATTAATAAGAATAGCAGAGAATTTAGAAATGAGACCTGAAGATGAAGTTGAAGATTTAAGTAAAGTCAAAAATCCAGGTTTATATGATTTCAAAGAAATTTAAAAAAATTGGAAGAAAATAGCTTTAGAGAGAAGAGCTAAATAAACAGAAATATGGGATGCTATGAAAACTAGTGCAGATCCATTTCTAGTAATTGAAAATTAAGAAGATTCTATTTATCATTAAAGTTAACATTAATTATTCTATGATTAAGAAGGATCTATTAATTTATTAGGTTTCTTAGTTGGTAGAAATCAATCAGCTAAATCTTTGTCTTTAAAAGAATATTTTCTTGAAACTTTTGGAAATTAATTAAATTTTGAAAGGATGATAAATTCAATTAATTTCTGCATTCGTGAATAAGTTCATGAACACTTTGATAATTTAAATAAATAATAAGAAATTAAAAAATTATCTACTTCAAGAATGAATGAAAAATTAACAACTATATTTTAAGGATTACCTATGCCTACAGATCCATTAAGAGGATTTATTAAATAGAAACCATATTTTAATCCAAATAAGATAATTCATTTTCCTATGTTTGCTAAGAAAGCATTAAGTATTACTCAAGAACATATTACTTATACAGGTATTAAATTTGAAGAAAGAACTATTACTGTATGTGCATATTTGAGAATTGTATATGCTTTATTAGGTTATTGTCCATAGGATACAAATAAACCTAATATTAAAAGATAATAAATGGCTGAATAATTAGGATAGAGGGCTGATTATATCAGAGAATTAACTTTAATTTGTTAATGGGCAGATTGGCATAATGGTAATATAGGAGCAAAATATCTTAAAATAATGAATGTAATTTTAGAATATTCATTTTGTGCTAAAGAAAAACAATTTATAACATCTTTTTTTGTTATTGCCAAAGCAGTTAGAGATATGTTAGATATTATCTCTGTTAAATTATAAAATGAAGATAAATTTCCATTAACTTATGATGATTTAGTATTGATTAAAGAGACATGTGAATGCATGAGTAAAATTGCTTCTAATTTAACTAAAATATCTAATGAAGATAAAATTATGGAAACATATGAAAAAGATTATCCTGATCATTTCTAAAGAGAAAGACATGAAGAAAGAAATTAAACAGCTACTTTAATTAATAGATAAATTGATGAATATATCCTACTTAATTTACTTCCATTATAAGGTTTTACTATATTCTTAGAAATTATTGTATGGGATATGTAATCAGAAAAAAGTCTATTGGCTGCAGTAGGTTTAGATGAAAAATTCTTTAAAATTAAAACATAAACTAGAGCATCTTTGATTAAATTAGTTGGTCTTTATATTGTAAAATGTAAAAGTTTAAAATTCTAAATTTTATCTGTTTTAACTAAAATGGAAGTATTTACTAAAAAATTTATAAGACAATCTTTTATTTAAGAAATTTTGGAAGATCTATTTTAATTTGATTATTAATTTAAATTATAAGATAGTTTATTAAATAGATCAATCTTAATTAAAAATAAGGATGATGAAGAATAATAAGGAAATTAAAGACCTGATTATTATGTTGATCATTTTATTAAATGTTATTATCAAACACAAAGAGGTCTAAATATTCCTGCTTTAGTTATAGTAACTTCTAAATATTTTATACTTTGTGAGGGTGATGAAGAAATTATAAAGAAAAAGAATACTAATCTATAAGTAGAAAATCCTAATCTAATAATGGAATTTTCATCACTTAAATTGATATTTAAAATAAATAAATCATAGGTATTACAGATAGAATATTTATATTATAGATAGAAGGAATTTACAGAATGGAAGGTGAATAAAGAATTTGTATTCTATATTCTGTTACAGATTAACCACCTCCATTTAAAGATGAAGATGCTTTAGAAGTTGCAATATTATTCTTTCCTAAAATAATTTCAACAATGAAATTTTAAATAGCTTTGAGTAATATAAAATTTTCTGATGATACAATCAGTCAAGGTGCATTATTATATATTAGTAATGGAATTTAACCAAAATGCATAATGTGGGCAGTTATAAAACCTGAAATACCTATATTTAACAAATTTAAAGAATTTCATAAGAAAAGAATGTTAATACATAATGATGGAACACAATTAAGATTATTTACAGAAACACTTGAAGATTGGTAATCATTAACTATAGAAAATTAATAGGTTTTTTCTTAAGCCAGATTTAATGCTTGAACAAACAGTACATAAAAAATATTCAAAATATCCTTCAGATACATAAAAGAAATAAGCAAGTGAATAAACTTATTTTAAATTGAAAGGATCATATGATTTAAATAAATTAAGAATACTTGAAATTGATTAAACTTTACATAATCAATTAAATTTAGAATTTGAATCTTCAAATCCTTTACGTCTACTTTTTGGATGTGACAGAGCTAGAGAAATATTTAAGTTTTCTCTTCTTAAATCAATCGATGTGAAGAGATTTCAAATTAAAATAGTAAAATGACTTTTTATTAAATATTTACGTATTTAAATTAGTGACGCATTATTATTTAAGAATCAATTTGTTCTTATTTTATGAAATAAATACAGAATTTAATTCCTGATCTTTCATTAATAAATGAACAAATTAATTTTAGTTGTACTTCTTGGATTGGCATCTGCTTAATTATAGAGTGTATAAACACTTAATGTTACATAATACTTGGGTAACTGGTATGAAGTAGCCAGCAGTCCTTGGGTTCATTTAACATTTGAAAAAGATGCTTATTGCACTAGAGCAACATATGGTCTTTAATCAGATGGAAATTTGAGTGTCTTAAATATGGAAAGATATGGATCACCCTCAGGTGAAGTCAAAGAAATTACAGGATATGCTTATATTCCAAATCCAGAATAACCAGGTTAATTGAAAGTACATTTGGAAGGAGCACCATTTGAATATGCTGATTATTGGATTGTCTAATTAGGTCCAGTCAAAAATGAATAATATTAATGGGCTATAGTTAGTGAACCATCAAAATTCTTCATGTGGGTTTTAGCCAGAGATCCAGTTGAATATAACTTATTATATGCAACATAAGTTCAAAACACAGTTACAAATACTTTGTAATTTGATGGACGTTTCAATTAATATGTTGCTAGACCATGGACTGGATGTGTTCCATATGGTAATACTTAATGAAAAAATTGATTTCGTATTATATAAATCAAGATTTAAATTCTTAAACTATTCCTAAAATATTAAAAAATAAAATGTAATTTAATTGAATATTTCATTGACTTTTTTTTTTTAAAGGATTCTTATAAACAGATCGTTATGATTTCCTAGAAAGTCTTCTTAATGATTTTCCAATTTTATTATATTAAATAATAATTTCTGTGATATTATTATGAGGAAAATAATGCTGAAATTCTTTATGTATTTCGAATTCAATTAGATCCTCAAAATTCTTATTATTAATTGAAGTAAGGAATTAAGATTTCCAACTTTTTGTAAGTCTCTATGATTTTTCTCTTTCAGTCCTTTCAATTTTTAGATTTGATTTAAGTTAGATTTCTTTTATTGAAGGTTCTAAATTCATTGTACTATTACTATTAGGAATAGTAACTGATTTAGGTTCATTACCTTTAGGATGAACAATTTTATAAATGGAATTTTTGGTTTGGAATCCTTCCTAATTAATAGGTGATTAGATAGTCAATTCTTAAGATGGTGTATCAAGGCTTGGTTATTATTAGGATATTGAGTTTTTAAGAGTTTCATCTTAATCGGATATTTAATCTTCCTATTAATAATCATTAAGGAATGCCTTTTGTTAATCTTAAATAATCTACTATATTTAGAATATAATACTGTTTTAATTTTAAGTGCTTTAAATTTGAAATGGTTTCTTTTGAAATTGATCATTCTCTGCTGCATAGATTTATTATATAGGTAAATAAGTTTTTAGATGTCAGGCTTATAATTAAGGTATTTACAATCAAAAACTATGTGATCATCTTTATTGCAGAGAAAACATTTCATTCCATCTATTGATAGATTTTATAGAATTCTATCTTTAATATTATGAAACTTTTCTAGATCCATTTAAGATAATACAGATAAAAAGTCATCTCTTTTGATACTGAAAATTTTTGTGAATCCAATACTTTTTGCACTACATTTTCTTGAACTAAGAGTATAAAAAGAATTTTCACCAAAAAATTATCCTTTTGTTAAGGTACATATCACAGTATCAGATTTTGTATCTATCAATTATACTTTGCCTTAATCAATCATGTACAAGGAATTATCATCTTATATGTTTTAATGAAAAATAAATTCATCAGGACAATATTGACGTGAAATCAATTTTTATGATGCTTATTTTAAAGATTCTTCAGAGAAATTATTAAGTAAAATTTTACTCTTTTAAAGGATATATTTGAAGACTGTAAATTTCAATTCTTCTTTTAATTATTATGATAATTTATTATCAATCACATATGTATATTCTTGATCTATATCTGATTATTCTTAATTTTAATATTATAAATAACTTCTAATTCTATTCTACAATTAATTTGGAACATGATATTAATTCATATATGCTGAAATAGCACGAATACTTTGACTAAAATTTCAAATAATTTAATTACATAAACTGTGATTATTGAACATTTATATTATATAATATATTTCCTATTGAATTGATTGAATATGCAAATATAAAACTTGAGAATAACATTGAAAATATGCAAGCTATTATTTCGATTGGATTCTTAGGAACTATATCTCCATAACCTACAGTTATTGTTGTTGTTGCTGCCCAATAATATGAATATAAATATTGAATCTCTATTTTATCATTCATAATATTTGCTTAAATAATCCAACTATTCTCAAAATATTATGATGATTCTTATCCTACATAATTCCAAATACATGCTAATATATGAATAAAATAAACTATTAATATAAGTAATTAGAATAAATTAAAATATTCTCTATATAGTTTATTAAATTATGTTGATTAATTAATCTTAGCTATTTCTTCAGTAAACTTTCTATAGATAAAAATTGAAAAAATCAATAAGAATATAATCTCTACTATTTATAATCTTTGATTTCCTTTAATTGTGTAATTTAGAGTAATAACTGAAATAATTATGAGAGTGTCAAATAGTAGTTAAGATCTGAGATAAAATGACAGTATTTCAGATCTTTAATTGATGACCTAATTAAATTACTTAATACTTTACATTTCCTTAAAATATTAACTATGTATTTAATTTTTAAATTATATCTAAGATAATAAATACTATAGTTAGTGAATGATATTAACTATCAATTCTAAAACTCCATAAAAAAGGATAAACCCATAACAAGACTAATAAAATGATAGTCTTTATATAAGACCAAATTTAAAGGAAAACATTACCTTAATCAAAAAGTTGATGACTTAATTTTGAACAATATGTATTAAATTCTTATTAAGAAATTTATTCCCTTTATTATACATACTTTTCATTAACAATTTTTCTTATCAATTCCCTCTTGGCTTGACTTAAGACATGAGATTTCAACATTAATTTTTCTTTAAAGAGTGCTACTAATTTATCAACTTTGAGAACTTCAAATAAATTTGGTTAGTTTTTAATCTGATAATTATTCTCTTTAATTTTTCTGCTTTAAAACCCATTAGCTTGAAAATTTGTATTTGAGTTGATTGAAAAGTTTAAATCATCAAATTATTCTGCCTCATTTTAAGGTAAAGGTGAACAAGAAGGAGTTTTATCAAAAGGTCTATTATTATTATATTCGCATTCGATTTACCCAAATTAAAGTTCAAAAGATCCTTGTCTTTCGTTCATTAGAATGTAATTATTTAATTAATATGAATTAAAAGATATTACCATTCAGTTATTTGAATTAATGTTGTTAAATTGGGAGATTTCCAATTGATTATTTAGACAGTTTTTTGTATTTAATATAATATGATATATTGTCATATCTTTATTAAAACTTAGATGATATAATTAGTAAAATTTTATTACTTTTGAATTCACAAGTTTGATAAGTTGATTTATTTATTATAAATTTATTTAATAATATAAATAATAAACATAAATTGATTGAAAGTCTTTTCAGTTTTTTTATTTATTAAGTATTCTTTAATCGTATTCAACCTTTTCGAATAAATATCTATTTTATCTAGTTACTAATGGGAAATGACCAATTTAATTTTCAGAATCCATTAATTTCGAAAGTATAGTATGTCTAAGCAAATTACCATTTTTAATCTCTTCATCCATCATTTATTATCTTAGATTTGTTAAGATATCTCCTGATTTCTACTTTAAGAATAATTATAAATTTTTTTAGTAGTAAGATATCTTCTTAACAAAATCATAATCAATAGAAGGGAGAGCATCTTTATTTTATTAAGCAAATTAATATTCTGAATGTCTTATTTTATGTTTTTTAATTTATGGAACAGATTCACCTAATTAATCTTAAAATTCTAAAGGTAAATCACCTGCCCCAAAAATTCTATAATAAATATCATATTTAATTGGTTTTATAAACTTATAATTTCTGCATAAATCTTCATCAATAGAATAAAGTTAATTTGATTCTGGATATTCACCTTTAGGTCTAAACATCAAATAAAATATTTTATGATCAACTCCAGTTATTCTACCAAGTGTAGCTCCTAATTAAGTTGGACTTGTATAGATCTATGAAGCAACTTCAATATCTTGTATCAATTAATCGATAGTATGTTTTAGATTAGGATATTGATGAGTACACGAATTAACAATATCCTAGAAATTATTTCCATCTTAAATACGAGAAACTATATTCGTACTAGAGGATTATGGATGTGATTTACCATTAATATAATAATTGCAAATAGTTTCTTTATTCTTCTTTTTATTTTCTATAAGTCTACTATTTCTATTAGTTCATAGTGACAATTGGACATTCTTCTTTAAGCAAATCAGAATATTTAATAGATATATTAGATTGCTTTTGACACTTCAAAAATTCTAGATATTCTGTAATTTCCAAAGATGGTTATTTCAATACTAGTTTTCTCTTATGTAATGGAGCTCTACGTTCTTTTCTGCTATCAATTTAAGGAGTTTCTATTGGAGGTTTGCTTAAAATAGTTTATTAAGAATTATGAGTATGAAAACGTCTAACAGAACTAAATCCTGGTCTTTCTGATTTATTTATAGTTTATGATGATTGTGGTGAATGAATACTAAACATCGGCTTGTATAAACTTACCTATGTAACTTAAGTGTGAATGTGCTATTTATTTTTACTGCTGTGATTATCTTTCATCTATTACAAAACCTTATATTAATTAAGGAAGTCTATCTTAGAGTTATCTGCTAACATATTCTTATAAAAGAATTTCTTCTTAATGTAAGGCTCAGTTGGAAATATCATAAAAATATATATATAAATTATATTAATATCACAAAGAAGCAATACTTTATTCCCATTTAAATTAGAACTTTAACTCTCTTTCACTAAGTAATTTTATTTAATCTTTCGCATAATCTACTTATTTCTTGTATTCAATAACAAATTCATTTATTGATTTAAAGAATTCATGTTTGGCTGATATTTATCTAAATGTTTTAAATGATTTTAATGGTCTAAATTTATTAAAATAAAATACGTTGTAGTAGTCTAAACAGGTTTTTCAGTCTCTTATTGTTTTCCTCCTGGTGCAGGTTTCTTAGCTTCTGGAGCTTTATTCTTTGCATCCTTTGGATCTACTTTTACTACTTAATTGATTTGCCAATTATATTATATTATTCTATCTCCTATAGTAAACATTTCCAATTGAACACCTTCCCAAGTTTTACTTAGAGATCTTTCTGAATTTGTATCTATTATTTAACCACTCTACTTTTATCTCAAAGAGACTTTCAAATTTTAATGTTTTTTTTATATTTATTCATCTCCAGGTAATTTAATAAAATCTTCAAATAATAAGAGTGAATCATAAAAAAGTAATAAAAATTCAAAATTTTAATTTGCAGCTTTCAAATATTTGTCTCCTTAATTGAAATTTTCATCAAAAAGAGTTACTTAATATTTTGATAATAATCCCAAAAAATCAGATAATCTTTTTGATTCTTTTTATTTTAAATCTTCTAATTCTTCTTTTAATTATGGATTTCCTAAATTAGGTCTTAATAATTTTTAATGTAATTTTTTAAGATTCTCTTATTTATTTTATTCCTTTTATAATTCATTCCATAAATTAGTATTTATTAATGATAATGTGAATATCCATCTTTAATGATTTGATAATAATATCATCTCACTAATTTTTGGTGACATTTCTGATAATTCTTCACAAGCATTCCTAAGTTCTCTAATTGATTATATTCTAAATTCATTCATATTCCTTTACATATTCTCAATATATGCTCTAAGATAATCTGGAATTTTATCAGTTCCAGTTAAGAATTTTTATTTATCTGCATAAATTTTAATTGCTTCTTCTTTAATTATCTTTTCAATATCTAATAAACTTTCTTATAATTTCTTTTCAGCATAAAATAATGGTCCCATACTTTCTAAATCATTTTCAATTATTTTTTTATCTTCTTATTATTCTTCAACTTCTAAAATAGTATCAAATTTATTTTCCTTCCAAGTAGTCCTTGGCATATCTACAACTTTATTATCTGGTTTAAGTGCTTCAATATGATTTGCATATCTTTTGATACAAATTAAGGTTCCACTCAATATTTTTCTAATTTTTATAGAAAATGATGGTTCAAGATTAGCAAAATAATCACCTTATTTATTTTTGAATAAATCATAATGATCTTTCAATTCTTGTATTTTCAAATTGATACATTCTTATGCTTTTTCACATTTAGTCATTTCTGTTCTTAATTTTTCTTAAGCTATTCTTTTAGGTCTTCCATATTTCTTTCCAGTACCATCTTTAGCTGCTAAATCTTCAACTGCTATTATATATTCTTATTCAAATTTATCCAATTATTCTTATTTTTTAGCTGTCAATACTTTTTTAATTTCTTCTAATCTTTATGTTCTTTTCTCTTTATGTTTAACAATTGTAGCATTATGTTCATCCATCATTTATTGATACCATTCTAATTCTTCTTTAAAATATTCATTTGGTTTGCAATCTCTCATAAAATCTTTATTTTTTTATAATAATACATCCAATTCTTAATTTGCCAAATAACTTAATTTTTATTCTAAATCATTAATTTCTATTATAAATTAACAATATTACTTTCTCCAAATTTAAAATAGTTCTCTTTAACAGTATTTTGAATTCCTTATAATTTGGCTAAAGTTGTTGCTGATTATAAATTATTTTTTANTTTGATTCTTTTTATTTTAAATCTTCTAATTCTTCTTTTAATTATGGATTTCCTAAATTAGGTCTTAATAATTTTTAATGTAATTTTTTAAGATTCTCTTATTTATTTTATTCCTTTTATAATTCATTCCATAAATTAGTATTTATTAATGATAATGTGAATATCCATCTTTAATGATTTGATAATAATATCATCTCACTAATTTTTGGTGACATTTCTGATAATTCTTCACAAGCATTCCTAAGTTCTCTAATTGATTATATTCTAAATTCATTCATATTCCTTTACATATTCTCAATATATGCTCTAAGATAATCTGGAATTTTATCAGTTCCAGTTAAGAATTTTTATTTATCTGCATAAATTTTAATTGCTTCTTCTTTAATTATCTTTTCAATATCTAATAAACTTTCTTATAATTTCTTTTCAGCATAAAATAATGGTCCCATACTTTCTAAATCATTTTCAATTATTTTTTTATCTTCTTATTATTCTTCAACTTCTAAAATAGTATCAAATTTATTTTCCTTCCAAGTAGTCCTTGGCATATCTACAACTTTATTATCTGGTTTAAGTGCTTCAATATGATTTGCATATCTTTTGATACAAATTAAGGTTCCACTCAATATTTTTCTAATTTTTATAGAAAATGATGGTTCAAGATTAGCAAAATAATCACCTTATTTTTTTTTGAATAAATCATAATGATCTTT